ATTTCTTGCCAATCCCTTCTAGCCTGCAAAGTTTCTTTTGAGAAATCAGCTGACAGACTTATGAGAATTCCTCTGTAGGTAACTAATTGCTTTTTTCTTGCTGCTTTTAAGATTCTCTCTTTATCTTGAACCTTTAGCATTTTAATTATGATGTGTCTTGGAATGGGTCTCTTTGCATCCATCTTGTTTGAGATCTCTGTGCTTCCTGGACTTGCATGTCTGTTTCCTTCACCAAATTAAGGAAGTTTTCTTTTATTATTTTTTCAAATTTCCAATTCTTGCTCTTTCTCTCTTTTCCTTCTGGCATCTCTATGCTATGAATATTGGACCTCTTGAAGTTGTGCCAAAGGCTCTGCGTACTATCCTCACTTCTTTGGATTCTTTTTTCTTCTCGTCCTTCAGATTAGTGGTGTTTTGCTTCTATATGTTCCAAATCATTGATTTGATTCTAGGCTTCATCCACTCTACTGTTGTTCCCCTGTAAATTGTTCTTATTTCAATTAGTGTAGACTTTGTTTCTGACTGGATCTTTTTTATGCTGCTGGGGTCCTCACCAAGCTCCTGAGCATCCTTACAAGTGTTTTGAACCCTGAATCTGGTATATTGTTTATCTCCATTTCATTTAGCTCTTTTTCTGGAGTTTTGATTTGTTCTTTCATTTGGGCCATGTTTCTTTGTCTCCTCATTGTGGCAGCCTCCCTGTGTTTGTTTCTATGTATTAGGTAGAGCTGCTTTGACTCCGTGTCTTGGTAGCATGGTCTGATGTAGCAGGTGTCCTGTAGGGTCCAGTGGCACAGTCTCGCCTGTCATCTAAGCTGGGTACAAAAGGTGTACCATTCATGTGGGCTGAATACCCCCTCCTCTTATAGTTGGGCTTCGGTCGCTGTTGGCAGATCAATGGGAGGAATTTACCCAAGCCAATCAGCTACAAGGATTGGCTGTGACCACTAATAATTTGGGTGGGGTAGAGTCTCTGGGGATCTCCAAGGCAGGTCAAACAGTGTTAGCCAGAGTGATGGAGTCTCAGATATGGTACCAGATTGCTGGTTCTGTAGCCCTGTGGGGGAAGGGTTTAGAAAAGGGACAATGGCCTCTGCTCACCTTGATGCCAGACACTTCACTTTCTCCTTGGTTTGCCACTGGTGCCTTTCAAGCTGCTGCCTCCCATGCTGGAGCTCAGAGGGAGTGAATCTGAATAGGTGATTGCATGTGTGGGTTCTTTAAGAGGACCTGCTTGGGGCTCTAGACATTTCTTCCATCGACTCAATCCCCACTGGTTTTTGCAGCCAGAAGTTATGGGTATTCATCCTTCTGGTACTGGAACCCTGGGCTGGGGGGCCTGGTGTAAGACTCGAATTCCTTGCTCCTGAGATACCCCTCCTGAATTTTTATCGACCACACACAGATGTGGGACCAGTCTGTTCCATGTCTCTGCCCTTCCTACCAGTCTGGATGGATGTGGTTTATTTAATTCCGTAGCTGTCAGACTCCCATTCAACTGGATTTCTCACTGTTCTGAGTGATGGTTGTTCTATATTTTAGTTGTACTTTTGATGTGGTTGTGCGGGGAGGCAAGCCGTGTTTACCTATGCCACCATTTTACAGGAAATCAATCTAAAATTTTTTTATTGATTGATTTTAGAGTGAGAGAGGAGAGAGAGAGAAACACTGATTTGTTGTTCTACTTGTTTATGCATTCAGTGGCTGATTCTTGCTTGGGCCCTGAGCAGGGATCAAACCCACAACCTTGGCATAGTGGGACAATGGTCTAACCAACGGAGCTGCCCAGCCAGGGCAATTTATAGTATAATTTAGAATTTTGCTATAGTAGTTGGGTTAATCATAATAAGGAAAAACATCCAAGAGAGTGGTAGAAACACTAAGCTCAGCATAATGACTACCTCTAGGTATTACAGAGGAGCCTATGGGGACTTCAACTCTGTATGTTACCCATTGCTGTAAGAAACAAATTACACCAACATTTAGCAGGTTAAAACAATAAATGTTTAATAATCGCCCTTTCTGTGGCCCAGGAACCTGGGAGAGGCTCAGTTGGGAGGTTCTGCTCAGGTCTCTTAGGAGGGGTCAGTCAAGCTGGGGGCAAGGGCTGCAGTCTAATCAGAAAGCTCACCCGGAGAGGGGCTGGTTGTTGGCAGGTCTCAGTATCTCACCGCTTGAGGCTGAAAACTTCAGTTCTTGCTATGTGGGCCTCTCGTAGACCGCTTGGGTGTCTGCCAAACAAGGCAGCTGGCTTTCCCCAGAGCAAATGATTTAAACGAAAGAGAGAATGCATGACCAAGATGAGAGTTCGGTCTATTTGTAAGCTAATTTTGAAAATGTGCTTCATCACTTCTCTTGTATGCCATTGGCCAGTCAGACCAGCCCTGCTACCCTGTGGGAGGGGATTCACAGGGTGTGAGTACAAGGAAGCGAGCGCCCTGGGGGCCAGCCATCTGGAGACTGTTTGCCACCAACTGGGTTTGCAATCGTTAATACTGAAAAATATGAAGCAAATATGGTAAGGAATTTTAAAACTTGATGAAACTCGGTCATACTTAAATATTCATTATATTATTCTCAATTTTCTGAATGTTAAATATTTCATAATAAAAATATCTTCCCCGGTTGCCACATGAGAGGACATTGGGGGACTTGGTGAAAGGTGAAGGGATTGAGAAGTACAAATTGGCAGTTACAGAACAGTCACAGGGATGTAAAGTACCGCGTAGGGAATACAGTCAGTGATATTGTAATAACCGTGTATGAAGCCAGGTGGGCACTAGAGTTACCGGGGGAACTACTTCATAAGTTATATAATGTCTAACTACTGTTATACACCTGAAACCAATATAATATTGAATGTCAACTATAATTGAATAATAAAAATCATAATTAAAAATAAAACGAAAACACCCTTTCCCTTAACAATGTTCAGAAGAAGAGTACACCTCAAATAATGATGACAAAGAACTGTGAAGACAGTATCAAGAAACAGTTATCACTCTCACAAAAACAAAAGAAATGGTCCTTGTGAGTGAGGAAACTTTAAGAAGTGAGTAGACTAAGATGAAAGAACAATAGGAAGAACCAAAATAGGAGTTAACTAATAATATTTCTTGGTATTAAATCCTTATTGAGAGGCATCAAGGCAGAGGCGTTACTACTGAAAATGAAATCAGTGACATAATGTGCAAAATGTCTCCTAGAATGAAAAGGAAAAAGTTAGAGATAAGAATGATGGGAGAAAAGAGAAAATATATAGAAGACACAATCAGATGATCAATATTAAGAAAGTCACAATAGAAGTATCTGTCAGATTCCTAAGGCACAAAATGGTGTGGATGTACAAATAAACAGAGCTCAATGTATCTGAAACAAAATCAAGTCTTCAGTCACTTGAGAAGGGAACATTTGGCCCTGGCTGGTGTGGCTCAGTGGGTTGAGCACCATCCTGTGAACCAAAGGGTTGTCGGTTCAATTCCCTGTCAGGGCATGTGCCTGGGTTGCAGGCCAGGTCCCCAGTGGGGGCCACGTTAGAGACAACCACACATTGAGGTTTCTCTCCCTGTCCTTCTCACTCCCTTCCCCTCTGTCTGAAAATAAAAAATTTAAAAAAGAACATTTGAGGTGTCCCCTACTAATGAGAAGTACAAATAAAATGAAAGTGATGACTATATTATTCAGCGAAGTTTGGAAAGTACTCATCAGTGCAATAAAAAGTTACAATAAATATTTGAAAGAAGATTTACAGAGTATGTGACTTTTTCACTGGGAAAACCCAAGGGAATCAATTGAAAATAATCTGTACTATTTTTGGATATGCACAAATTGAGATATAAACAGTAAGTATGGACATACACACAAATCAGTAGCTTTACTATAGACCTAGAAAAACCGGTTAGAAAATATAAAGGGAAAAAAGATTCTTCCACATTACATAGAAAATATAAAATACCCAGGAGATACATTTAACAAGTAAAGTACAGAACTTGGATGAAGGAAATGATAATATTCCAACAGAGGGGAAAGGAGACTCAAAGACACGTAGATATTCCATTTGCATGGGCAGAAGGACAATACAGAAAAGCCGTCAAATCCTTTATAATTCAATCTATATATTTAATGCAAATCCAAAAAACCCAACAGGTTTCTAAAATGTAGTGAAATAATTCTAAAGTTAACTTGGAAAGAAAACATGACCGTACTCAAAAACAATTTTTGAAAAGAAAGATATTTTATAACGCCTTGATGATGATAACCATGCCCGTCTGCGGACATACAGGCACAGAAATGAACAGATACCCCAGCAAACACGGAGCAGACCAGCGAGTCCAGAAACAGACCCGCACTTAACACCCTGTGGTAAAGGTGACGTGTCAGCGTAGGAAAAGGATGGATTTATTTGCCAATTGGATTAGACAACTTCTTAGTTATTTGAGAAAAAAATAAAATTAGATTCTTACCTCATTCTGCATACCAAAATAAATTCCAGATGAAATCATGATTTAACTACAAGCATAGAATAAAATAGGTGTGTGTATACACATAAAATATAATTTTGAGTTAGAGAAAGACTTTCTATGCATGACAAAAGACACCAGGGACATCATTAAACAAGAGATTGATGAATTTTACCATGCAAAATTTAAAAGTTCTATGGCCAAAAAATAGCTAAGAAGTTAAAAATCAAACAAAATTATGTGAGGAAATATTTGCAACATATACAGGGAGGGGCAGAAGTAGGTTTACAATTGTGAATACTTAAAACACAGAGTTTATTCTTGTATTATTGTTTATTAATCATTATATTACTTTCCATAGGAGCAAACTTTTAGACCTGCTTTTGTATAACGGACAAAGAGTTAAAATTCTTAGGCTATAAATAGCTCTTAAACTCACAAAAGAAAATATGAACATCCTAATAAATAGACATGGAATATGAACAGGAAATTAATGAAAGAAATCCAAATAGCCAATAAATCTATTAAAAAGTGTACAATATCACCAGCAATTTTTAAAAAAAGGGAATTAAAGAGAAACCTTTTTAAAAAACTCTGTAGGGTAAAAAAGGCGAAGGGGGCGAGAAGCGCAGGGTGGCAGGTACCAGTCAGGCCCCCGGATGGGAAGGCAGCACGTCCCAGGGACACAGCCTGCGACGCCCCAGCAGCTGCGTGTGGTGCCAGGCGGGCACCTGGCCTGTCCGGGGCCACCTCGTAAAGGATATAAACGTCTGACCGCTGTGCCGTACACCTGAAACCAATATAACATCATATTAAATGTCAACTGTAATAGAAAAAAATTTTTAAGAATTTTACGCGGAAAGTTTAAACCTCGATGTGGATAAGTGGGCACGAGCGCCGCCTGCACCGGCTGCAGGTCGGTGTGAACCGAGGAAGCACATCTGGGGCCTTGCGGCTCCAAGCAGCGAAAATACGGAGATTTCCACATCCTTTGACTCAGTAATTCAGTGTTTAGGAATGCAGTCAATAAAGATGATCGTGGAACCCTATATTTATTGAAATGGAAAGAGATTGACAAATCTTTAACATTTGACACCATGGTCCCACTTTCACATAAAGTAATTATGTAACATGTTTACCTGTACACCTATGTGTAGGAAAAAGTCTGAAAATCGTTACACCATATTTATAGCCGTTGTTTCTAGACAGTAGAATTATATTTATTTTTTAATTTTTCTTATCTGTAATGTCTAAGTCTGGAATAAATGTGTTATGTGTATACATTTATAGAGGGATAAAAGATGTCATAAAAATACCAACAGATCTGACCATATCAACTGATAACATTTTGTATTTAAGTTATCAAAAATTAATAGGTCAAATCCTAGAAAACGGCGGCACCACGGCCTCCCCTCCTCCAGTACTCTTTCTAGTCACTACCTCCTCCCAAGAATAACCATTATCCTGACTTTAAAGAAAAATCCTCGCCCAATAATATATGTATTGATTCTAGAGGAGAGAGACAGAGACAAAGACCAAACGGGCAGACCGGCAGCAGAACCGGAAACCCTTGGTGTTCGGGACTAGGCTCCAGCCAGCGGGGCAACCCAGCCAGGGCGGCCACTCTGTCTTAACGCCGGAGATTACTTTTGCCTATTTGTGAACTTCTATGATCATTTTTGTGTGGGACTTCTTTTACTTGATATCATCTTTAGAAGATTCATCTACATTTTGCTTTTGTAATTGTAATTGTAGTTGTAGCTCATTTATTTTCACTGCTGTGCTAGCAATGAATGCGATTCATGCTTTTGCCCCCGGGAGACATTTGGTAATATCTGGGGACAGGTTGTCACAACCAGAGGCAGGGTGTCGTTGGCATCCAGCGGACAAGGCCAGGGGGACCGGTCAGCATCTCACAGGGCGCAACAAAGAATTGTCCGCCCCAAATACCCACGGTGCCTGCTCTGCTGCATTCCACCCGGTCACACGACGATCAGCCAGTCCGCTGCTGAGGGGAACACAAAGTTTTACAATGGCAAGAACTGAGGACAGCCTAAAACGTTCCCAAATTATGCCTCAGCTAAATGAGAGCACATTAGACTGTTATGAGAGTTTGACCTATGCAAAGAGTTTGTGAAAATATACTTTAACCATTTTAATTCAATAAAAGCCGGATACAAAGTTGCATACACAAAACATCAAATGGGGACGCGCTTCTGTCCCGGTGCCCTGTGAACAGCACAGGACCCAAGAACACTCGGACAGCGCCTGCGCAGAAGTGTCGCCCGAGAAAGGGCCTGGAAGGAACACAGTGGGGGTGCATGTTGCAGAGCTTGGGGGGTAGGGAGACAAAGTCTATATTTTATAATTCTGTGTCTACACTTTTCTAATTTTTCAAGTTTCCCATTAGAAGCATGTTGAGTGACAGGAAAAGAAAATAAAGAATTAAAACTCCTCATAACCACCCAGGTGCTCACTGTTGTCTGTGGGTGAGTCAGTCCTCAGGGCATGGGGGGGGGCGGGCCCAACACTTGTGCCCTTGGGGCCACCGTGCCTTCCGGGGCCTGGGTGGCCCCGCGCTCTCGTAGGTCCACATAGGTCGGTGCTTCTGTGCGAGCCGCGTCTCAGCCTGCAGCGGCTGCCCTCCTTGTGTGATGACCAGCAAACGTGACTTGGCTTTCACCTCTCGCTGAGCACCCTCCTTTTTTCTCTAACAATCACAGCTTTTTCAAGTTGTACTTAGTGCTATTCTTGAATGTCACTTCCCTCAGCGGTCTGCGAGCCACCTGAAAGGAGGATTTAGGTCCAAATATCCCGGGACCTGGCCCAGTGTCAGTGGGAATAAACGTAGGGGCTGCCTGCGAAAGTCTGAAGAACTTGGGGAGACCCTGGCCTCAATCAAGAGGCTTCTGAAAGAAACTAGAACATGACGCTAGTTTACCTCTTGGGAACCAAAGCACTTGTATTGAGTACTCCTTTTGAAGAATGAATGACGACTAGTATCTCAGGCTTCTAAAACAGTGCCGGGCACACAGTATTGAATGTTCTGATACCAGCTGGTGGCCTGCAATTCAACTCTGGCTGAACACCCCTGGAGTTAGTGCAGACCCTTCTAGTTAAAGGGCTGATCCACACAAGCCTGCCCTCATTTCAGACCAACTGGCTGCAAATCTGGGGGTTCTCACAATCCGCCTCAGGCATGATGGTTCTCCACAACGACTCTCAGAACTCAGGAAGGTGCTATCCTTAAGGTCCCAGCTTTAGGATGAAGCATACAGCTCAGGATCAGCTGGGTGAAGAGACGCATAGGGTGGATGTGGGAGGGCCCAGTGGCACAGCTTCCTTGTTTTCCCTCCATGGGTTGGGGCTCATTCCCCACCCAACACGTCAATATGTTCACCAATCTGGAGCCCGAGTCCTCACTGGGATTTCAGTGAGTAGCACGATGGGTTCAAGCATTCATTGGCCATCGGAGCAAACCCAATGTTCGGCCTCTTTCCCTTCCCGGAGAAGGTCCAGTTGGCTCAAAGTCTTGACCATCTAATTGCATGGTTGGTCTTTCTGGTCCCAGCTTCCCTCCTGAAACTATCAAAGGGGGCTCCCCAGTCACCTCGTTAGCATAAAACTCAGGTGTGATCTGCAAAGCTCAGGAATAATAAAGATTTTTCTATCAGCCGGGAAATTCCAAGGGTTTTAGGAGCTACACGTCCAGAAACCTGGCATAAATTTTTCCTCGTACAACACATAGTAGGTTCTCAACAAGTATTTGCTAAGCAAAAAGATACATTCAAAACACCAGACATTGTCAGGAAAGAGGAAGGCAATCAGGCTTTTGGATCCTGCCACCTGACATGGGTACCCAAATACCTGTTACGGAGACGGACACATTAGACTGTGAGAAGCCAAGGCTGGTAAACATTCCAATCAGATGACAAACTCCTTGGGCTCTGGTTTATATTACCAAGCACCATGATGATAATTTTGCTTCCCACGTGACTTGTTTATAGGAAGAGAATGCTAGCCCGGCCAACACGAGCATGCACATCCGCCCGAGGTGATTTCTTGTTGTGAATGAATAAAGTGGCTTTCTGGCTTACACAGCTCAGTCTCGGGGCTCTTCCTGCCTCACAAGGTCTGGAAGCTGCCGGCCAGGTGCTGCCCAAACCCTGGACCCTGGCAAGTTCTGCCCCGCTGATGCCGTCCAGGGAGCCTCCAGGAGTCCGTGGGAGCCATCCAGTGGGTCCCTGCCTCTGTATTTCAGGGGGAGGGCTTAGGGGCAATCGCAGCACCCCAATTTGGATCTGGGTGACTTGACTACCATCTCAAGCAGTTATTTCTGAGATGTGGTTGTAACTGAGAAAGCTTAAGCTTAATTGATTTTATTCCACTTGACTGAAAGAAAGAGCATGGGAAAAAAAGGGACCTGAAGACATCGATAAAGTGGACCCCAAAAGCACAAATTTCATAATATTTACCTGGTCCTGGCTAGAGGCTGGAGACACTGACTGGTATACTCAGGCCTCTCAGTGACTGGAGAGAGTTAGTCCTCTTCTGAAATCTGAATAAGAAGGATTAGCTTACCTTCAGCTGTAATTTAATCTAGTGATCAAAAATACAACCTTCTGATTAATAATTAGACCTCCGAATCACCTTCCTTATAGCCTCTCCACTGCATATGTATAAATAATGTTCTGGTTTATACATCTGTTTTTTATGAGTTTGGTTAACCTGACTCAATCCCATGAATCTGATCCATTGACATACTCTGCTCTGAGGTTCAAGCTGTGGGAAGTGGAGAACCAGACTACAAAATATAGTGACCCCTCCAACGTACTGTCAGTTTGTGACTAGACAAACAGCTCCTCACTAGGGGACACAGTTCCCTCACTGTCTCCCTCAAACCATCACATACCTAATTCAGGAATCTTTCTCCAACGTCCCTGAATGATGTCCTTTTTGGAAGCTCCCGATGGCCAGGAGCTCACTGTCGCCATGCTTCAAAGCAGTGTGATTTCTTGGAGATCTTGGCTGTTTTACTATTCATTCTTGAATTTGTAACTTTGACCTACCAGTTCTTTCACAAAAGCACAGCAATGTTTCTGTGTGTCTAGGCTGCCTAGCTTCGGTTCCTTCAAAGTACCTTGAACGTGATGAAGTCCAGTCTCCTCACCACCCCACTGTTCTCCTTCTAGCTGTCCAGCATCTTTCTGGGAAACACAATGCCCCCCCGGAATCTGGTCTATCCACGAGCACTATTATTTTTGAGACATAAGATATTAGTACAGCAGAAGTTTATTTCATTTAGCTGCTGCACCTCACTGTTGGCTCAAACACAAGGTAAAACACCCTCATCTCCTCTCAGCGCACAGTCCCCTCCTTTCGGACTTGAAGCTGTCAAAACAAGATGCACATCGGGAAGGCTGTGGGTTTACTACGTTGAGCTTATTTCTGCCCTTGATAAATACTGTTTCTGTTTACTCTGAGGGAGAAGGTCCTTAGCTCAGGACCAATATACAGGGCTGTTTCCAAAATTCAGACCTAAGCGGTGAATGACTTTTTCTTAGAAAGAAAAAACACCTTTCTCCAGGAGATGAGCCACCACTAGAGACCTGGGAAGGTGTTTTATTTGTCTCTGTCTGCTAGCACCTGGCAGGTAAAGAGGCTTGATAAATCCTACCACCTAGATAGCCGTTTCAGTGCAGAGGGGGAGGGGGTGGAAAGGAAGAAGAAAAGCTATTTTGCTGATGATTTTTCCCCTTCTAGTTTTAGAATATAAAAAATTTGGATATATAGTAAAATTGCTCAACTAAACCTAGGGTGTGGCGACTTGTTTCTCTTGGAAGCCCCGACACATTCTGGGATGAACTGTCTGTCATCTGAGATCCCCTCCTTGCCACAAGCCCCAGCTTTCTGGAGCACTAATTAACCTATTTATTGTATATTTAATCCAGGGAAAACTTCATACTGTTCATTCTCCTCACCGTGTCCCTCAGCCGCTTGACGTCCTTATTCTCTCCACTTGACACCCCATCCTCTCCTCCTCCCAGCCTAGCCCGCAAACCCACAGGGATTTAAAGTTTAGTGTTCAATGTTATCACTGCCCAGGAACCGCGGGACACACATTCACAGGGACAACTTGGGGAGGCCATGTGCTGTCTCCCCCTTGGGGAGCGGGAGAAATCCGTGCGGCTCCGTGTTGTTCCAATGGCCTGTCCAGTGAGTGATTCCCGTTTCCCCAAAGGCTGCCCCTCATTAGCATGAAGGGGGTGGGGGTGTGGAGAAGGGGTGGGGGGAGAGAAACAGCAAAAAGCCCTGGCTCAGTTTTAGAGCCTGGGAACCTTGTCTACCAAAATGACAGCTAGAGCTTTCTGGCTCCTCTGTTTGATCATTGCATCCTCTCCGGAATCCCCAGTGGCAGAGAGAAAAGGTAAGATCGATGACATGCTGAGAGCCCTGGGAGAGGGGCTGGGATGGGTGGGGGGTGTGGAGAGCTGGGGAGAGGGGGCGATGAAGGGCGGGACGAGGAAGGGGTCAGAATGTGCAAGAGAGGAGACTCTGGGTCCGCGTTCGTGTTCGCAGGGAGCAAAATGTGTCCCCAAGATTTTGTGTGTCTTGGCAGCCTTTTGGGAGAGAAGCCAGTTCAGCTACTGAAATGATCTCGAGCGAGCCGGGCAGGCTGGAGAAAACTTTGCATGTTAAGTAGCTGCTCCATCACAGAGCAGGGAAAGTGTCAGAAGGGCGCCTTTTGGGAACCGCGCTGGCCGGGCTGGCTGGACGGGGCGGTGGCGGGCACCCCGAGGAGCCCGGGGTCCACCCCGCACGGGGCTTCGACCTTCCTCCCTCCCCTCTCCCTGAAGCCCCAGCGAACGGTTCTGTGACACCTGAGTCTTTCAAAGACACGTTTTCATGCACGAAACGAAAATAAGTTACTGGGGGAATGCAGAAATAAGGGTTTTTCTGTGGGGAGGTGTTTTTGTTTTGCTTTTGGGGGGATGTTTTTGTTCAATTCACTATCTCTGGGAAAATAGCTTCCGCACCTCAGAGGGCAATTTACTTTGGGTTATTTTTCCACATGGAAATTGAATGACTTCAGTGGCATTTAACCCAAATATCGGACAATCTTTCCCATGACAACAGATGGCGATATCAATGGGGAAGCGGCGGTGAGGTCAACAGTTGACTGTCGGGAATTGGATGTCCACCAGCACTTTATTCAGCTGTGTATGGGACAATGTTGGCCACGATGAGTCAGAATCAACCTCTTTACAAAAACATGAACTATAACCAGCTATTATTGCTGAGTGAAAGCTGATTTTAAAGGAGATTGTCGATTTTGCAAGATAAATCACTTTAAATGAAGTGTTTTAAAAGGCTGCAAATGGGCAGACCAAGCTCTTCAACGCAAGAGGAGAGAAATGCCGAAAACCAGCCGTTAAAACAACAGAAAAATACAGACGTTCCTGTGCCGGCTTGGAGGGCACTGGGACCCAGGCAAAAGGGGGGCGGACACTGTGTAACTGGTCATGGGAAGTGCCCAGCTTCTGAGTTGGCGAGTTTGCTCACCAACCTGTCTGTGGCCCTCGGGGAAATTATTAATAATTTAAAAAACTTGTTTGTATGCCATACCATTTAGGAATTTTCCTCCATCATCAAAAGGAAGAAAATTGTAAGCGATGTGTGGTTTTATACTTAACCAGAGGCCTCTGCCTCCCAGCCAGGCTTTAAATATCTTTCTTAGCTCTGGTTCACCAGTAAGTGGTGTCCAAGAAGCCATATAAAAATTCACTCACAAATGCCCGATTCTGCAGAGACCAAGATGACAGTGTAAACACGGATGGGAAAACCAAATAGTTCTGTTGTCAGGGGCGCTTAAACAATTAGGAGAACATGTAATATGAGACCTCTCCCCCTGGGGTTTGCTCTAGGTACTTTGTCAACAAACTGTACACAGCAAAAAGGCGGATGTTTATGTGTGTGTGTGTGTATTTGTGTGTATGTATATGTATATATATATAATAAAGGCAGGAGTTTGTTCTCCAACCAGAGTAGTCAGCTATGTTTAGTCCTAGAACAAACAGGGGGTTGTAATTTTAAAAGCTATAGATTTAGAAAGGTTCCTTAACAAAATGAAATGTTCCCACGTGGGGAGAAAGTTTTGCTTAGTTGGCTTCATTCTTAGAGGGCAAGACCCTCACCTCCGTCTTCCTTTGAGGCCTAAGAAACGGACCAGAAGCTGAAGCTTCCCTCCGCAGAGCACAGGGGCGCCTTCCTCTCCCCCCTGCGCTCTTTCCTTCACTTCCAGGTCTCCTGGCTTCCTCATCTCCTCTCCCAGGTGACTGCTAAGTTTGTATTGTCCCGCGTCTCCCCCGCCTTCCCAGGGCCCGGTCTTCTTTCTCCCCGCCAGCCTCTCCTTCCCTCCGCGGCCTCAACTCCTCTGCCCGCCTCCCTCCCTCTCAGCCTCCCGGCCTCTCCTCTTCCTTCCCTACAGCCTCGCCGCCCCACGCCAGGAACCCCGACCCCAGCGGAGGCCCGAGTGCGGAGGAGACACCGGAGCCACGGCCGCAGCCGGTACCCGAGGCCGCTCAGCCCGTCTGGTCGCACCCGAGGCGCCGGAAGCCTCCGCCACCCGCCGAGAACCGAGCTGGCTTCCGGGAGGCCCCACGCGCCCCCGCCGGCCCGCCGAGCCCGCGCCTCCCGCAGGCCGAGAACCGCGCGTCGCCGCGCCGCGTGCCCGCGCTGGAGGACTCCCCGCGGCGCGCGCGCACCCGGGCCCTGCGCATTCCAGCCGCGCGCCCCCCTGCGCGCGCCGCCGACGCTCCCTCCAGCCCCGCTCACCCCAACCGGCCGCGCGCCGCCGCGCCGCCCTCGGAACCGGCGTCGCCGCCTTCGCGCGTTAGCCCGCCGCAGCGGAACACGGACCCGGACGCCGAGTCTTGTGTGCACGCCTGCGGGGCGGATCTGGACGAGCGCGAGTCCTACTGCACGAGCGAATTCGGTGAGCCCCGCCATACAGCTCCTCCCGGGCTCAAGGTGCAGAGCCCAGGCCGCCCAGCGAGCTTTTCCGAGCCCAGAGCGCGGACACCCTAAGCCAAACCCTAGAGAAACATACTGGGGGAAAAAAGATGTGAGCGTTATGCATATGTCCAAACTTTTTGTGTTTTGAAAGCAGCAGTGAACGGAATCGTGCATGATGTGGACGTGCTTGGCCCAGGGATCCAGCTGGTGACTCTGCTGGTGGACCGGGACGGGTTGTACAAGATGAACCGCCTGTACACCACTCCGGACGGGTTTTTCTTCCGAGTCCACATCTTAGCCCTAGACTCCTCCAGTTGCAATAAGACATGTCCAGAATTTAAACCTGGTATTGAAAATGATCTGACCACTTTTCTTATGTATTGTCACCATTTGTAACTTGGGTGCCACAGCTCGGTCCCAACTGGACACCCCAGCACCTTTAGGGGGAAGGGGTATTCCAAAAGCAATAGAATTTAGACGACAGGTATTATTTTGGCCACTGTGATTTAAGCTCCATCAGTCCCCCCGCCCTCCTCGATTCCTGTTAGGTGGGGAACAGCATAGACTGGCACGAAGCAGGCACTCAGTAAATATTCATTGACAAATTGAGTGCTTAATGGAACTCAATTTTCAGAAGAGATGCATAAGGGGCTTTCTATAAACTTAATTTAGAAAATTCTTTTTTTGGGGTGGTGGGGCACGGCTTCCCCTCTCCCATTATGCTGTTTACAGGCTGATTCCCTGAAAGGTCACTCACTACTAGGCAGTTTCCACGTGTTGTCTGACAGTTAAATATGAGATTCAAAATAATAGATTAAAGCTTAGGCATTTCTTAAAGATCTTATATTTTCTTATTGTTTCATGACATTTAAGATACTATGAATTTATACTTTTTTTTCCCAGGCAGCAGGTATATTGTGATGGGCCACATCTACCATAAGAGACGGCAGCTTCCTTCAGCTCTGCTCCAGATCCTAAGAGGGCGCCTCCGGCCAGGAGATGGACTGCTCCTAAGCAGCAGCAGCTATGTGAAAAGGTTTAACCGAAAAAGGGATGTGCAAGTTCAAGGTGCAGTTCACACCCAATGCATCTGAATTTACCAGCTTGGCATTTCTGGATCATGAGACTTGGAATTGATGAACAAGTCAGGAAAGGAAAGGTCTAGCTTCATGTAATGGGATCTTCCTTTAGGGCACACTGCTCCTTATATGAACTAGTTGCGTAGTTCCAACTTCAACAGTGAAGCTGTCACCTCATTTACAAAAATGCTTCTTAAATGAAATGCTTTAGAGTTTGGTGGCAAAGCTATTCAACTAGTACCAGTTATGCGTACACAGCTACTGACCTGTCCCATTAACAGATCACTGCTTCATGCTGGTTATTTTTAATTATTTTAATTTAAATACATTCTCAGTAGAAAGAGTTCACAAAAAAACATTTCCTTGATTTTATATACAACTTTGAATAGTTTGTATCATGTATCAAACCAAATCTACACCTAAACCATCACATTTCAAGGTCTGTATGTAACAGTAAGTGCAGCAAAGACATGTTATGATGTCAGACCAAACAGATGGGTCGGAGCCGAACACAATTATAAAGTTTTACACTTAAAGAATACTAACAGGCTTAATTCAAGCAAAATATTATTCAAACAAGTGTTTCTGATGTACCAAAGTGTAAGAGAGTTTATTATCATGCCTCCCTGCTCCTAAAAACATGGTTTGTGTGAACTGGCAGCTATCCCAATGCTACACAGATTCTGGGTGTATCTGATGTCATTTTTTTTTTTTTATTAAGACCAAGTATCACATTAGTGTTTGTAAAGCAGTAAATCTTGCTCTGAAATCAGATCTTGGATGCACCTGGGTTTTTTTTTTTTTTTTTTTTTAGCCTCACTGAGCCCCATAGGTTTGGGAGAAAGCTTCTCTCAAACCTATTCCACAAACCCTGGAACCAATACTCAATGACAGCTTGCAAGCATGGGAACTGTAAACTCTCCAGCTAGATTAAAAAAGGTTTAGTCACTCGCTGAACTTGGGACTGATTTTGTACTTGAGTTCACAAAGATATTAACACTCTTTTTTTACAGAAGACCAAGCTGTACTGTAGTTCATTTGAAACACTGAATAGACATCAATAACCCATGATTGAAGATGACGGCCTAAAGATAAAAGGGAACTGCACTAGAGAAAACAGCCTATTTGGTCTTAAAGTAAATGGACTCAGTAAACTCAAGAAATATCTTTAGTCTAGTAGCATACAGTCTTTACTGGGTACGCAGCACTGTAGGGCGCCAGGACGGGATGCTAGAGACACTTCTTGAGGAAACAGCCTAAGACAGAACATCTGCGTGTAATGGGAGATACAGTTACCTTTTTTGTCCCAAGCATGGAGCAAAGAGGTAAACCAGGAGTTGAGAGGTCCTATTATTTTGCGGTTAAAGCACTACTAAAGAAACTTGAAGAGAATTTCCCAAAAATGAGTGTTGCCCAAACTTGTTAAAAATCACACTACAATTGTTTCTTGGGAATCAACTACATGATGATGTCAGCTACTGGCAGTAGTGTATGCAGCAAAGGAAGAGCTTCCGGATTGTTTTAGGATAAAGGTAAACTCAGACATAAGTAGTAGCAATCACAAAAATCAAAGCCCAATTTTTAAATGTCACCAGGCCACATGGTGATCTTGAGTAACACGGTGGGGAAAAGGACAGAATGGCCAAATAGATCAATCACTGGTTGGATGGTCAGGTGTTAGAACAGGGTTACAAACAGGTCTGGTTGAGAAGAGGAGAAAACATCACTTGTACCTAGCCAGCAAGTCCGGGTTTGATTAGACTGACCTGGTACTACTGGTGCCTGAGTAGTCTGGGAAACACAGAATGTGCTGGAATTGTGTGGTCTCTGTGATGCTGGAAGGCCAGTTAGCATGTACAACCAGACCAACACACATAGACCAGCTTTTTAGAAACTTCCTCTCAAGATTAAGGCCATCATTGAAGACCAGGTTTGCAATGAGAGTCATGAGAGGCTCAAATGGGTTAGAGCAACGGCGGGCTTGAGGATGGGCCCAGGGGACTGGGATTCTCCTTAGCAGTCAAGGTGAAAAAAAAAAAAAATCTCCTTTTCAGTATTCAGTCAGTGCTTTGGATGAATCTTTAGTTTTATGAAAAACCTCAATTAGCAGATTCAATTAGCAAGTTCCTAACCCTTTTACCCTATTGATAAGTTTTCAATAAAAAATTACCGAAATCAGTAAGATATTAGCATGTGGATTTGTGCTCCCAGGACGAAAGGACTGCGTGCACATGTAATGGTTCCTCATCAACGAAATAGTCCAGTGCCTTTAAGAGTAACTCATTAGCATCCCTCTGAATTAAGCTGCTAGAATTCAAGGACAGAAAGTACTTTTTATTTTGGCAGTATCTTTCATATTTATATACACATTTTTTAGGGAGTACTAGATTTTTACTGTCTTAACGTCACTCAGCACTTTATATTTCTCTTAAAATCATTGTTAAGGTTTATCGAACATGTATATGCAACAGATCTGACACTTATAACGCACAACTTGAACTTCAGGAACAGGACGTTATCATTTTAAAAAATATAGCCTATTTTTTCCGTTGCATTTGGTCCTAGCTGCATCACATTGGGTATGATCTGTCTTTTTTGGTATCTGACTCTAAGTATCTAGAAGGATCTCAGAATATTTCAAATTATTAAAAGTACTCCTCACAGGGCGGTCCAAGCACTTGTAAGACATCACTTTGCCTCTGATATACCCCCAGTTTCATTTGAAAAACTACAAATCTGAGACTTAGAGGTAACATCCTCAATCACCAAAGGGAGAGTTCTGCCATGGTCATGGAGCTCTGTCTAGCTCAGTCTGCAAGTGTGCAGATGGACAAGGCCTGGCTGACTAGTTACAATCAGAAACACACAGAGATGCAGGGAACCTGCCTAACAGAAATGAACAGGAACAGGGAAAGAACTTTTACTTGCAGATTCCGGGAAGGTAGATTACAAACAGCAACAAATGTCTGTGTCTCTTAAAAAACACTCCAGGCTACTTAAAATATAAAAAGGTAGTTGTTTTACTTTAAAAAATATCTCTGAAAGCTCACAACTTTTAAAAATCTACTTACTGCAGGACATTAACTAAAATCAAATCCCGCAGAATTGGGATAGGAGAAAAAAAGCCTTATCAATATTATGAAAATACTTTTCATGAAATAGCTTTAATTGTGAATTTGGCAGATGAAACATCACAAGGATTGAAAATACCCTCAGACAAGGAAATCTATTGATGTAAATTTAAATACATTTTCAAGCCCAATGACTGGGTAGAAAAACCCTAACAGTATCACGAATGTGCACTCTGCTACTTGGATTATTGAAGCCAAAGAGCTGTCATATGTGTATCTCACTGAATAGCAGAAGCTTGTCAAGGAATACTCATAAGAAAGCTGCTTTTGAAACTCCATATGGATTATAAGAAATGTTTTTCAAAAATTTCCTTTGGAAGACTAAAGCTCTATAGTTGATAAAACTATAAAATGTTTATGTATTTATATGGTGGTAGAAATTGCAAAAGGCTTTATAATATTAAATATGCATACGAAATTAACATCTTCCTGGTCAGAGGAGTCCCATAAAATCTACCTTCTTTGTACAATTTGGCAATGCCAACAGCTACAGAAAATATATCAATCAACCAACCACTGTTTCATTAGAAACTGCACCAAATCCAATGTCAAAAACATTACTTTATTTTTCTAGGATGAAATGTCCTTTTACGTACAAAAAGAATTGCTGTTTAGAATTTGCCACAATCTGTTAAAAACATAGCAATCTATTGCCTACAGGTAGGAAAGTTCTTGCCGCAACAAGTTTTAAATGATTAAGTCCATATATATCTGTATCTATGAATAAATAGTACAGAAATATTGTGATGTGATGAGATGAGATGCAGAATAACTTTCTTTATAATTCGTTAAAATGTAGGGTTCTGGCATCGGCACAGTGCATACAATATGAAACATTTTTCAAAAGTAAAAGGACAAAATAACCTATATTTTGATTACTTTCATGTTAATATTTTAAGCAAAAACGGTTTCCACACTGAGCATTTAGTGTTTTTAAGCTTGTAAGCAAAGGTTTAAATGTCATTTTTATGTACAAAAAGGAATGGGCTTCATCAGATAAAATTAACCCAGAATAACCTGTACACCTGAGCCTGTAATAAGAAAGAACTGGGAACTGTAGCAACATCTTTCTTTTAAGAAACTATGATCTGGGGAAGGTTCTGCATAGCAGGATGATATTAAACAGAAGGAACTTTTTAAAAACATTAATTTCAGAATTTGCTGGGACAAAGCTAACATGAATTAGTGCAAAATTTTTGCAAAGCTGCATAAACCAACCATGGCAGATCTTCTAGAAGCTGCTATTACAATGCCGTAATACAAGTGTAATGTCAGAACACTGAAAGGAAAAACATGCAATAACCCTTCCTGTGTTGTTTCTGTTTCTCCCCCTACTGCTTGGGGGGGGGGGGGCACGGACGGGACAGAACCAAACAACAAAACTTAACCAGCAAAAAACACAAAAAGATGATGTCACTTAAAAAACGCTCCCCCTAGAATACAAGCAGCTGTCTGAGGCTGCCCGGCACCACGCAGCGCACTGAAGAAGGCACCCTGTGCTCCGTCACACCACCGTTCCCATCGGTGCGCGGTGATGAGGCACAGCCGGACTAGCACCCCTGAAGCTTTTTCTCTGAGTTGACAACAGGGGGCTGGGAATGACCAAATGAAGGGCCACTGCGACCCTGGGGCCGACAGACCCAGGGGCTGGTAGACGTGTCTGCCTTTCACTGACCTTGCAGCCCTCCCTTTCCCCACAAAGGCTTACAGGTAATCATTAGCGCACATTCAAAGACACCATCTGTGGGAGAAAAGTGATCTCCATTTATTTTGTTTCATATACATCCATAGTTGAATTTTAATACAAAAAGAAAAAAATTAGAATCTGACAAATGTTTACAAACAAGATACCTTCAAATAGATTTTACTCATTTTTAGCCTGGTGCAGAGTAAATGACAAATTATACTGTTATATTCAAGGCAACAGAGTCTGTAGTCCAGGACCGCCTAGCCCAACCTTTCTGCAAGCTTCATTTTTATCTACCATGAACGAGAAACTCATTGTTGATTCCCAGGTATGTGTGTGCACATGTGTACATAGCAGCTCCTTTCATAGAAAGAAAAGACATCTAGAGGTCGTTGTGTACTTTTATCTATAGGAATCATGATAAGATACAGAATGGATTACATGTAACTGGGGCTGGATTTTATAAGAAAAAATAATTAGCTGACAAATGAGGGCAGCAATAAAAAAGCGTCTTTTTTGCAACAATAAATAAATACAGTCAAAAGTTTTCTGTGAGACTCTAAACCAGCTTCTTCACTGAAGAGCAGACGTGGCATTTCCATGGAGTTATACTTGACCCCATATTAATCTTTTTTTCTTGCTTTCTTTTTTCTTTTTTTTCAATAAAATTTTCCCGCTTCTGCCACAATAGTAAAAACCATTTGATCTTGACAAGATAATGGTGTCGTTGACTTCACTTTTCCCTTGTCCGTTGGACAAAATTGGTCAAGAATAAAATTGGACTGCTATGACCAATAAAAACGAAGTTTAGGTCAAGTCTTGTCAGGATAACCTGACTAAAAACATCTGGCTCCTTAATTTAAAATAGTTCAGACAACCAGATTCTTGCTGTGTTTTACGCTTAGGTTAACACGCTGAACTTTAAGAAGCTGTAGACTGCAGTTTGTTGTTATGAGACCTACAGAATATAGAAAACAGGGAACAATTAAGCACCCTTCATTTTTGAAAACAATGATGCTTTATGTGGACGCCAAGGTCAATCTGGGGGAAGCAGCCATGTTCTTTCACTTATCCTTGGTGAGCAAATGTATGAGAACAAGTAAGAAATTTTTAACCTAATATTAAAAATGTTCACTGTACATTAAACATAAAAATTCACCGAAAAAAAGCCAGTATTAAAAAATATATATGTAAAATAAAGATTACATTTTTAGCCCAAGGGACAAATAGAGACATTTACCAAAGCATCACCATTGTGGTAAAAGGTGTTGGTGTGTGTGTGCACGCATGTGCTGATTTACACTGATTTAGGGAATGTGAAGGAAAAATGTTAAGAGAGAAATAACAATATTAAAATCACATTTTTCTATTAAATTCCAGAAAGTCTCCTTTCTAGTTTCACAGTTTTATTCACAACTTTTGTTAGTAAATCAAATTACTGTACAGTTACCGGACTAAGTCAAAGTACGTTCTACTGCAATAGTGTATATAAATACAGCATCTCAGGAGTTTACAATCTTAAATACATTGTTCAACATGGCTGCTAGAATAAATTGTTTGTTACATCTTTTTTAACATTAAAAAATTATATTAACTAATCTGAACTTGGGGAACAATTTTGAATTAGGTAATCACGTGGTATAATAAAAGTGACCCCAACATCCAGTTCTGATTCCAGTTAAAAATTCAGACTAAAGATATCACAATCTGTAAGAAAAGAAAGAACATGGATGGTATAAATGATGAATTATAACAAAGTAATGAAAATAATTTGCAAACAATGAAAATAATTTGGCAAACAATTAAAATGAGGGGAATATGGTGAAAGAAATACTAGAAATCATAAATAAATCAAATTTCAATGATTGGCTATGTATGTTCTTCATTCTGCCTTAAATCAGATCAGCAAAAAACTCCCTAATATCTCTTCAATTATATTTTATTTAAGCAGAATTGAGCAAACTCCTCAATTGGCTCCCATGTTCTTATTAGAATTACAGAAACTCGAACCTAACAAAGAGCTACATGAGGTAGCCTGGTGGCAAGCTCCAGTAAGTGGCCCCTCTACTGTGCAGACCCAACCCCCAGGCCCCTCCCTTCCCCCCAACTCTGCGGTCATGCACCAGCCCCACAGGGTGTTCCTCTCCTCAGCTGCAGGGGCTAAAGCTTCTACCTCACAGTTACCACCAAAGGCTATACAGCTTCATCAATTGTTTTTAAAAAGCAATTTTAGAAATATATTTAGAGGAATAACGGTTAGAGATATAAATAAAAAAGATGGCGAGGCCTGTGAATACGCTGTAGTGCTCTGTCCTATCTTAACCTGAATCCAGGCTCCCTAGGGTCAAGCACTTTGAACTTCCACTTCTTAGGTAGTTACATTTGTGATGCTGCTATTTCCTGCTTTGTCTACTTTATATTGTTCAAAATCCTCTTAGGCAAATAGAACCGAGCTCATGCAACCATTCTCCCTCTTCCTTCTTGAGTCCAAGTTTTATTTCCCTTTAAATTTAATCCTTCCATGCTTTGTCTAGAGACCAATTCTAAAAGCTGAAAATCAATGGAGTATTTACATTATTATGACTATATAAACATTTCTCTCTAGCATCTACTCCGTTGTTAAAAGTGCATTCTCAGTATTCCTATACAACTTTTTGTTTTTCACGTAGCTTCTGCCTTTCATTTTCTCTACTTACATTCTTTTTTTAAAAGATGTTACTTATTTATTTTTTAGAGAGGGGAAGGGAGGGAGAGAAATATCAATGTGTGGTTGCCTCTCACAGTCCCCCTACTGGGGACCTGGCCCACAACCCTGGCATATGCCCTGACTGGGAATCAAACCGGCAACCCTTTGATTCACGGGCCAACACTCAACCACTGAGCCGTACCAGCCAGGGCTCTCCACTTACATTCTTTTTTTTTTTTTAAAGACTTTATTTATTTATTTATCTTTAGAGGGGAAGGGGGAAGGAGAGAGGGAGAGAAGCATCAATGTGTGGTTGCCTTTGTGCATCCCCTGCTGGGAACTGGCCTGCAGGGAACCGGCCTGCAACCCAGGCATGTGCCCTGACTGGGAATCGAACCGCGATTGTATGGTTCGCAGGCCCGCACTCAATCCACTGAGCTACACCAGCCAGGGCCTCCACTTACATTCTTAAACAAATTATCTTTTTTCCCCTTTTCTTCCCCCAGACACCTCCCTCTTAGGAGTACTCTTTCTCCTCCTGGATCACAGTAATTACCATTGTTTTCTTGAACCTCTTGTTCCCTGGATCCAAGGTCTTGTTTTCTTGATTTGCTTATTTTTTAAAAGATTTTATTTATTTATTTTTAGAAGAGGGGAAGTAAGGGAGAAAGGGAGGGAGAGAAATATCAATGGGTGGTTGCCTCTGACACGCCCCTGACAGGGGACCTGGCCCACAACTCAGGCATGTGCCCTGACCAGGAACTGAAATGGTAACCTTTAAGTTCACCGACTGGCACTCAGTGCACTAAGCCACACCAGCCAGGCCTTGATTTGCTAGTCTTGCTACTGAACATCTTAAAACAACCTGCCTGAAAGGATGCCTGGGAAGGACACCCTTTCTGCATTTTTACATGACTAATATATTCTACTTCTAAAGTGGATTGTTTGGCTAGACAAAGACTTCTAGGCAGCAAATCATTTTCCCCTCAAACTTCTGGAGTTATTTCTCCATAAATCTCTGGAGGATCAGACTATTGCTAGTCGGTTATGAGTCTAATTCTTGTTGCTTAGTAGGTTGTCTGTTTTACCCTTTAGAAGCTCTTAGGAGAGCTTTTTTAAAATCCTGGACATCTGGAAATGTTAGTGATGAGTATGTGGTAGAGCTTTTCCCATTTGTTCAGCTGGCTTATTAAGTTTATCAATTGTCCTCATCGTTCCACACAGATTCTGGAAGACAAAGCAGAAGGAAGAGATCTACCCCGCCCCTCCGCCCTGTTTCCCTGCCCCACAAAAAAGCAGCCTCGACCAGGCGCAGGAGCTTTACTCTTTGCCCTGCTATCTTTAGTCTGACAAAGACACTCGGAACCGTTTGCTGAATGAACACATTTATTTTGCTTGGATTTGAAGTCTTGTACCTCTCATTGGCTCAGAAAATTTTTCTTGTATTATTAGTGTTTTGATACTTTCTTCTGCTTTGTCTTCTCTGTTTTTTCTTTCTGGAATTTCCATTAAGTGAATATTAGATACTTTAGAACATTTTTTCTTTTACATTTTCAATTCCCTGTATTTCTGTTCTTTACACTGAGACAGTTGCTTCATTTTAACTTTCACTGCTTGCAGTAACTTTAAATTTTCCAATCACTTCTTTTTCTCAGATTGTTCTTCATTCCTAATATCCTGTTCACCATTCTGTAAAATTTCTCTCAGGCCATAATTTAGAGGGCTTTGTTTGAACTTTTTTAAGTTCTCTCTTATTCTTCTGGGATCTATTTTTCTGCTAGACCTCAGCCTCTCTCTTCCACACTGCAGGCTCTCCTCATAGGCCGGGGGGCTGTTCACACGGCAGAAGTCACCAGACTGGACAGCTGTCTGGAGAGCACTGGGGATGTGTGTAGGGTGACTGGCTGGCAGGTTTTTCTTCAGATTATGATTTCTCAATCCCACTATTGACCTCTTGGGACTGGATGATTCTCTGTTGTGGGATATTTAGCAGCACCTCTGTCCTCTACCTACAAATGTCAGTGTTACTTTCAATCTCTCAGTGTAACAACAAAATGTCTCCAGGCATTGCTCAGTGTCTCTTGGAAGTTGGCAGTAGACAAATTATCCCTGTTAAGAGCCACAGTTTTAGAATGAGAGGCTGCAGACCAACCCTACAGAGGGCAGAGGACTTTACTCTCAGTCTAACTTTCTTGTGTCTACTCTGGTTTTCTGCAGTTTATTCTATTTCTTTAAAGAAGAATTCTGTGCTCCTCAGGCTTCCTACACAGGCCTGCAGACAGGGGAAGGTGACAAGCTCAAATACACATGGTCCTTGACTTATGGGGATTCGACTTAGGATTTCTCAACTTCACAACAGTGTGAAAGGGCTGTGCATTCAGTAGAAATAGGTGAGGCTAAATTATGAAGTTCAGTACATTAGATGTGTTAAATGCATTATGACTTGTGATATTTTAGATTTACAATGGGTTTATCAGGACAAAACCCTGTCATAAGCTTATCTGTACGGATCCTCAGTTAATACCCCCGTCTCTTCTCTCTGGCATTCAACTCGTTTCCGAAACTCTGTGCTGGAGGCTCTCTGGGGTTCTGCTGCAGAGCCTCTGAGACAAGTTGCCTGGGGCTTCTCTGGCTTCATCCACTGATCTTCCATCTGCTTTGTCTTCCAGAATCTATTGAAATCTGTTTAGCTAATTAACTTCTACTATACTCTTCACTATTCTGAGTTTATCCCTTTTATTACTTTGTTATTATTTTCTTAGGGACTGTCATACTGAGTAAGTCCTCTTTCATTTTTAGTTTTCCAGCTAAGGGGTTCACAGGGGATGATGAAAGGAAGAGGTTTAGAGATTTTCTCAAGTTTCTTGGTTCTGGGTCTATAGCCTGACTGCCCACACACCCACTTTCTTTCCTCTTTTGCTGAGAAGGTAATTGGATACTTGAGCTGGGCTGTCCTTCACATTTATTTTATGTAAACTTACTCTAAAAGTGCAGTTCCTGATGTAATTTGCTACAGGAAAAGGAGAGAGAAAAACAAAAAACACCCTACAATTTTCCTTCAAGAAAAACCCCTCAATAGAGCACTGGTTCTTATACTCTGGTAATACGCAGAGTCCCTTGGGAGTCTGTCAGATAATACAGATGCTCAGGCCCCAACCCAGCCAAATTCTACCCAATTTAATATTTTGGGACAATCAAGACAGTGGAATGGTGGATGGGAGAGAGTGAAAAATAAATCTCAGGGGCCACAAGGTGGTGACAGTTGCCACAGGAATGGAAACCGGGCTTCTGTTGGGAGGGAGGGAGGGAAGGAAGCCAGTCAGTCAGTCAGTCAGTCAGTCAGTCATGGGCTGGAGAAGGGGGGCTGAGGTTCAGAAACAGAAGTAATGAAAGTCGTATTACTACAGATTCAAAGAAAAGGTCTATGGACTTAAGAATAAAATTTAGTTTTGCCCATTGAAAGAAAACATTTGATGATTTCAAAGATGTAGCAAACATAAATTCACGAGAAAATACTTACGTACAGTCCCGTTTCATGGTCTTCCCTCCTTTCCCCTACAGAACTGCCACCTTTACACCAGAAAATGAGAGTGAGCTCTGTCTCCCTACTATCTTTGTATATACATTTAAGAGAGCAACTGGTATTCTGTAAGCTAAATGCTTTTGTAATTTAAAACCAAAAAAAAAAAAAAAAGCAAACAAACAAAACAAAATGAAAAAAACACCCTTTATAATTCTAAGCAGATCACAAACTCAGCAATGTCTCACTGTTGAGCCTGTCCCCTTGTCCTTGGCAGTATGTCATAATGCTAGTGTCTGGTTTTGTTTTTCTTTTTAAGGATTCTTGATTTCAAGGTTCAAATTCACCATAAACTGCACTGGCTGACTCTGTAGACCTAAAAGAGTTGGAGGAGCCGAACTGATTCAGAACCCTGAACACACCCGCTCACCTGCTGGCCTTGAATCCTTTCAATTTCTGCACAAAGAACGATTCCAGAACTTCTGCGCACTGGTAGAAAGGGGAGTCACTTGGATTGTAGTAACGACAGTTATCAAAAATTTTGGTCATATCTGCCACAAATTCTGTCAGCTTTTCATAATATCTTCTTTGTATTCTTTCTTCCATGGTGGCAAGATCTTAAAAACACAAAATGTACATTTTCAAAGCTTTAATGTTGTTCCAGTGCGAAAACTGCCCACAGTCCTGACAAGAACATGTATTTCCTGCCCAAGCAGTCCTGAAACCAAGCTGCCTCACCACTGAAGGCTATTTAGCAATTAAGGAGTACTCTTCCAATTATATATATTTTTAAAGATTTTATTTATTTATCTTTAGAGGAGAAGGGAAGGAGAGAGGGAGAGAAACATCAATGTATGGTTGACTCTTGTTCATCCGTCCCCTGCTGGGATCTGGCCCGCAACCCAGGCATGTGCCCTGACTGGGAATTGAACCATGATCCTTTGGTTTGCAGGCCCACGCTCAATCCACTGAGCTACACCAGCTAGGGCTCCAATTATATTTTTGATCCAGGGCCTAATGTATAACTTTTGGCTACTGTTAAGGAGGTTCTTGGGTTTTAAACAAAGGAAACTATACCAACATGATTAATACATATTTAAATATAACACCCATTTTCACAAACAAATATATCATATGTACAAAGAGAAGGGGAAAATCCAGAATTAAGATCAAATCTCCGTAGTTTTGTGATCTTTCTGAGACTTTAATAACATCATTTTGTTTTCCTTATTTATTTTCACTGTTACTGTGGTGAACTCACCACTTATGGTGGTGTCTACTTAAATCAATTTAAGAGAAAAATATCAGCTCATATACAGAAAAATATCAGTATATAATAGTACAAGCATATGGAAATGACAAAAATCATCAGGGTGGTACAGAGGTAACTCTTTTGGAATATCCCTAAAATACCATTAGGTCCTAGAAGAAAGTTGTGTTTGAAGGGAAATTTCATATACAATTTACAATACATAAAAATTTGAGAGTAAAAGGCCAGTGAATTTAAATCAATCTTTGACCGAATAAAAGAAAAAAATTCTAAACTAAATTTCAATGATTATTTTCAAATTTGAGAAAATGATTTTTTAAACATTTTTGTTTTTTAGAATTTATTTATTTATTTTTAGACAGGGGAGAAGGGAGGGAGAGAGGGAAAGAAATATCAATGTGTGGTTGCCTCTCATGTGGCCCCCACTGGGGACCTGGCCTGCAACCCAGGCATGTGCCCTGATGGGACTCAAACTGGTGACTCTCTGGTTCACAGTCCATGCTCAATCCACTGAGCCACACCAGCTAGGGCAGAAAATTATTTTAAAGCTGAATAAAAAATAAGTTCAAGACTAAGAAACATCTGAAAAATAACAGCAATGAGAGAAAATTTAATCTATCAGACATAAATGGCCAATTTTGTTACATGGTTTAACACAGGCACACATGCAAACATGCACACAAACACATGTGCACATGGACACACACACTGTCTTTGAGTTTCCATTTGTATCGGCAGGGAAAATGTGCAAACAAGGATAACTGCAAAACTACACCTGATACCCTGATAGAATTCCAAACACAATCTGACTACATCTACCTATTCTGTGTGGGCTATGAAAAAGTAAGTACTTAACACATCCTTCCAGGATATTACCATTTTCATACCCAAGTTGTTTTTTAAAAGGTATTTCTGAAAACCTTGATATAGTTTTAGAAAATATATCATTGTTTACTGCATAAAACCTAGCTATTGTTCTGTAACTAATTTTTCTTTCAACTTATGTCTTGGAGAATTTTATTATCTTCATACACACACTTACATAAGATGATGTTTATCTGGGTGGTACAAAGAAAAGACAGTAAAACATACTTGAACAATTTAAAAAATGCAAAAAAAAAAGATAAGAAAACAGCCCTGGCTGGTGTGGTGCCATGGGTTGGGCGCTGTCCCACAAAGCAAAAGGTTGTCGATTCAATTCCCAGTCTGGGCACATGCCTGGGTTGCAGACCAGGTCCCCAGTAGGGGGTGTTAAACAGGCAACAGATAGATTTATCTCTCACATATCAATGCTGTTTCTTGTCCTTTCTCCCTCCCTTCCCCTTTCTCAAAAAATTAATTTTAAACAAATCTTGAAAAGATAAAAAAATAGTATAGCTCTTCAAGAAAATACTTTTGGTCAAATATACTAAGGTATATTAAATTTATAGACTATATAAAGCCATTAAAATCATGCTGTTCAAGATTAATGACACAGGAAGATGTCTGTCAGACATATTACATAATTTCAATTTTCACACACACACACCTCAAAATGTAATGGAATTCAGTGAGCAAAAGATGGAAGATGCATGTTATCTTTTATTCTTTTAATTTCCTATAATAAATCTGTGTTATTTTTAGAAGTAGAATTACCTACCTATCTAAAGCAGATTATACAAATCGGAAATGCATATAAGGGTTAACTTGTCTTTTCAACTTCCAAAGAGAGGGAACTACTTATTTACCTTTTTTAAACATGAAAGTTGTTTTTTTAATTTTCTGACTGACTGATCACGCTATTACAGTTGTCTCAGTATTTTTCCCTCCCTTTGCCCACTTGCACCCAGCCCCGCCCTCTCCTGTATCATTGTCCCAGTCTTTGGGCCATACACAACTGTTCTTTGGTTAATCCCTTCACTGTCTTTCATTCAGTCCCCTGCCATTTCCCTCCAGCAGCTGTCAGTCTGTTCCGTGTATCTATGCTTTTGTTTCTGTTTTGTTCTTCAGTTTATTGTTTGTTAGATTCCACATATACTGTTGGTGGGAATGCAGACTGGTGCAGCCACCATGGAAAACAGTATGGAGTATCCTTAAAAAATTAAAATGGAGCTCTGGCTGGTACAGCTCAGTGGGTTGAGCGGAGGCCTGAAAAGCAAAGGGTCGCCAGTTCGATTCCCAGTCCAGGCACATGCCTGGGTTGTTGGCCAGGTCCCCAGTTGGGGGTATGCGAGAGGCAACCACACACTGATGTTTCTCTCCCTCTTTTCCTCCCTCCCTCCCTCCCTCCCTTCCCCTCTAAAAATAAAATAGTTAAAAAAATTAAACACGGAACTCCCTTTTGATCCAGCGATTCCACTTCTGGGAATATATCCTAAGAATACTGAAACATCAATATAAAAAAATACATACACCCCTATGCTCATAGCAGTGCTATTTACAACAGCCAAGATTTGGAAGCTGCCTAAGTGTCCATCAGTAGATGAGTGGATAAAAAAGCTGTGGTACATTTACACAAGGGAATTCTATGCAGTTGTGAAAAAGAAATGACTCGATGGACCTGGAGATACTATGTAAATTGAAATAAGCCAGTCAGTAAAAGACAAATACCACATGATCTCACTTATATGTAGAATCTAATGAACACAATAAACAAGCAAAATATTTATGTTGGTTTTTTTCAAAGACACTTTTAACTAGCCCTCATTTATTTTCTTCATATATCCCTCTTCTTAAAAAGTTGTGAACACAAATCCTTCCTATGAAAAAATGTTTTCTAAACTGAGACCGAGTTGACATATAACACTGTATTAGTTTTAGGTGTACAACATAATGATATGTGTGCATACTGCAAAAAGATCACAAAAATCAGTTAACAGCCATTATCACAGTTACACTTTTTTTCCTCTTGTGATGAAACTTTTAAGGTCTACTTTCTTAGCACTTTCAATACAATAAAATCCTTCCCGTTTATAAAATACCGAGCTGGTTCTGGAAAGCTTTTGTCATCAGCGAGAACTGATGACAGTTTTGGGAGTTTTGATGTATGTTTTAATTTTTATAATTTTTTTGCAGATAAATTATTTTTTTAATCGTCTCCAGAGATGATTCACTGATTCCAGAGAGAAAAGAAGGGGGTGAGAGAGGTGGAGAGAGAGACAGAGAGACAGACATGATGCGAGAGAAGTATCAACCAGGTGCCTCCTGTACATGCCCCGAATGGGGACCAAACCAGCAACCCAGGCACGTGTACCCTGACTGGGAACTGAACTTGTGACCCTGTAGGTCCATGAGACAACATGTCAACCAACTGAGCCATATAGGCCAGGGTAAACTATTTTTAATATAGCATATTTTGCGGTGTATAATGCACTCCTATGTATAATGCACACCCACGTCTTGGGCCCAAACTTTCAGAAAAAAAATCTTTTGTTTTAATTTCTTAACTCAATTTTTATTTACATTTAGAAACAAAACCAATTATCGTATTCCAGGGTATTGTTTTGCATACAGATATCGTTATTGCTTTCTACAGTTACGCTTTTAACAAAGAAGCATAAATAAAATAATTCGAAACATTTATATGGATATGGAATTGGTACTACCCCTGTATAACGCGCATCTTTTTCCCTTAAAACTTTAGGCAAAAAAGTGTGCATTACACACAGCAAAATACAATAATCACTGGAGCTTTCCATCCCCCCCCATCCCCTGCCGCTCCCACCCCTGGAGCTTTCCACCTTAATGCAATGCCTTGTAGGTGTAACTTACTACCAGCCCCATTCCAGGAAAGGAAGCTATTTTTCTCTCAGATTTCTATTGTGGGTCCATCAGACTGCTTTCCCCTTCGGGAAAAGATGAGGAAGAGGATGAGAGGCTCAGACAGACCCTGACCCATTCAATCTTTTGTATAGCTGCATAACACTCTGCTTATATTATCATTTGACTTAGCTACTCTTCTACTGATGGCTACTTAATTTCCAGTATTTTTCAATTAGACACACTTCTGTGATGAACATTGTACTTTTGCATGTGTAAATTCTAGGAAATGAAACTGCTGGGTCCAAGGGTGTGCACACTTAAACACCTATACATACTCCTAATTTACCCTACAAGTTACCATACCTATCTATACTCCCATCAAACTTGTTCAACAAATCCTCATATTAATTTTATGAATAATAAATGAAATATCTGCCGAGACTTCTGAAAAAACTCCATATTCAACTCCAGTACGTACCCATCGGTTCCTTAATAACACCATAATAATCTGGCGCATCATTAGGATCCACTGGTTCCAGGAAGGGCCAGGCCATCTTATGGGCCTGCAATGAAATAAAAAAAGGCCATTCTTCTTGTCAGATGGAAATACTAATCTACTTAAATACTTACTGGAGTTAACTCCAAAAGTCTTACACTGGATAGGTAATATTGTTTATACCAAGGGAGTCAAACTCATTTTCACCAGGGGCCACACCCGCCTCGCAGTTGCCTTCCGAGGGCCAAATGTAATTTTAGGACTGTATAAATGTAACTGCTCCCTTAACTAGAGGGTAAGGAGCTCGGTGCTACTGCCAGGTAGAAACAAAGTGCTGGGCCAGATAAAATAAGGGGGGAGATCTGGCCCGTGGGTCCTTGTGTTTGCCACCTGTAGTTTATACTGAGGTGATTTTTGCTCTACTCACAATTTAACTTATCTTGGATGGGCATATGCTGTAATAATCGTTTTCAGAGGGCTGTCTGAGGACCCTAGCATGAGAGGGGAGGGTGGGCTCCAAATGTGGGATGGGCACCACTGCAGGCTAATGAGGTGGCAGAGATGTTGTATTAGTAACATTCAACCACATAGTGAGACTTTGCTCTGCTTTCTGTTCTTTCCATTCCCCTGACTGGGGTGACAACAGGATAAAGTGTCAATCCAGCACTCGTGTCTTGAATACATCTCTAGCATTTGCTAAGGTTGTACACCATCCCCATTTCCTTTTGATTTTTAGTAAATGAGGGCTCAAAGCCTTGGGTAAGCATTGGTAACTCACTAGAATTCAATCAGACTGTTGTTCAATCTATGGTGGTAGGATAAAGATTTCGTCAAAAATAAAATTTAGGTTTAAAAAAAAGTGTGTCACTTTAAACATAAGTGCTAGATAAACAGCAGCTGAGCTACTGTGTGGATGTGGAACCCTCATGACATACATTGGTGTGTGAAGGACTGAAGTCTGTGGTGCACTGCACTGAACCCGCTAGGAGTCAGTAATAATTGGGTACTCTACTTGGAAAAGTCAAGCCCTAGAAGTATTTCCAAAGCCACGATGGCAAATTTCATCTTCAAACTGTGCACACAGCGGTTTCTCACCTGTAAAGAACGCAGCACTCTCTTCAAACCCTCGTAATCTTTCTCGGTCAGTGGCGTGAGCACTGTCATGGCATCCTCTGTTGACTGGCACTGCGGACAGACATACTCGTCAATGAGCTCTGCCTCACTCTGCAAGATGCCAACACAGCGCCCATGGTACCAATTCTGACACCGATCACAGCCAATATAAAATCTGCAAGATCCAAAATGGAAATGTGAGTTCAAAACAGATGGACTCATATTACTTATAATTTACTTTAAAAAGTAATAAAACATGCACCTGAAAATCTTCTAACTCTGGGATATAAAACAGATTTAGTATTATGATTGTTTAATACTTTTGAAGACTGACATTCCTATGTGTTAATTTAGCATTTATGATATTAAAAACAAGCATTAAAAGTTTATTAAGAACACTGTATAATATTAGAGAGCCCATACAAAAAAAAGTAAAACATTTTAATTGACTTTAAAGCTAAAAACAAAATAAAGGCAGAAATTTTTCAACAAGTACCATATCAAATGAGAAGTGGATATTGGTCACCCAACAGGGAATTCAAAATCCTCTAAGCTAAAAACAGGGTCTCAGAGCTTATATACAAATTAATATTTTTCTAACCTATGAGAAAGCACCATTTCTAACACTGATGAAGTCCAAACAAGTCAGGCTATTTTAATCTCATTAATTTCTAAGTTACATATTGAAGAATCAAGTCTACCATTAAACCATATTTTCCCCAATGCATCTCAAACATTCACTATGAAGCGACATAAATTTGAAGGGGAGGTAAAGAGGGAAAAAGAGAAAAAAAATTGGAAAGGAATTTGTAATGTAAGTGTGTAATATATGCAGAAAATATCTTGCTTTTTATTTTAAAATAAATAAGTAATCAGTCAGAGCAATTTGGCTTCCTAAATTATTAAATATGATGCTCTTATCAGAACTCACTGTGACTCATCATAAGGTGTTCTGCAGATACAGTACAATTCCTCACTGCTGCCCTCTTGTGCCCGTTTACAATCATTACAGATGTACACATCCATTTTCTTAGCCTCCTTTTCTGTGATGCCAACACATTCTCCATGATACCAGTTAGTACAAAGATCACAGCCAATATAGAACCTAAAAGTATTCACAATGAAAATGACAATGTAATTGTCATTTTGAGCTGCATGGTACTTAAATCTGTCTTCCCTGCCCTGATTCACTTTATTACAGGATAACTTTCTGCAATGAGTGAGCTAAACATCCTGAATCCAACTATTCTACCCCTGGCAAACTACAGCATCTGACACTTTATCAAGTGTAAAAACATAAAGTCACCCACATAAATTCAACAAATACACTGTTTAGTGAAATATGGGTCTTTAAAAACATACTGGGATTTGAAAAAAATAAAGAACACACTGATGGTAATGTCTGCCTCTTAATGAGCATGTGTAAACTGGAAAAGGCACAAAAACCAAAGCCAAAGAATCAAAGACTTACATCTGTCAAACCTATGCCACAGAAGCCATTACAAAATCAGGGCTATTTCTTAGATAGGTTTGAAAATGTATCTCACAATTTAAATTTGAAAACAAAGCAAAGCGCAAACACCAAGTAGAAGTTACACTACAAGAAACATGCAGGTCAGCCAGGTGTAAAAGATAAATGGTCAAAATATGATATGAAAAAGAAAACTAAGAAAGGTAAATGTAGTAATTCATTTTCTACCAAGGTTTCTAAATACACACTGGAATTTAATCTAACTGTCACAGATTTTCAATTAATATAATGTGTGTGATCATGTGGAAAGTGGCCAGGTTAATTAATTGTAAGGAACTGCTTCAATTAGAAACCATGGGTGCCTGCTGCAGAGTGTAGTAAGGAGAGTTACCAAAAACAGCCAGAGGTTGTACAGTATTTGGTAAGGAGGAACTGTGTGTGTGAGCTGATCACTTACAGTTAATAACCCTCAAGGTTTTTGTAATATAAGATCCCAAATGACAAGATGAAGAGCGTCTCTATGACAAACACACAGTGTATCTGAAAGTGTTAATGGGCACCATGTAGGAACACCATATCAAAGTCACAGGAAGAATTAGTATGGATCACAGGGAATCAGACTGGCCTTGATGATACCAGTGTTCTAGCAAGGTATTTCTTGGTAGATTCACCTTGAGAAACAGAAATAGTCCTCAGGCTTTAAACTTTATGAATGTTAGGCAGTAACACATGGTTGTGTAGATTACCATACTACCACTAACTTTTCTCTTTTGAATTATGACCCTTGCATGATTTTCACTGCCACAGGTGGGGCCACGGGTGGGGAGGGGTCTCCAAGGTGTTTTTCTATGTTGCCTTCACCAAATGATGGGCTGTACGTCCTGGAAGTAAGATCAGGACTTAAATTTCAAATTTTAGTTACTCTCACTAGATTCGCAAACCAACCTGGTTTGGTAGAAGAGATTACAAAATAATCCTAAAAGAAGCCATTAACTCATCTGAACTTGACTAGGGAGCGAATGAACCTGGTATACTGAAATGTTAATAATGACAAACTGAAAAATATGAAATACCTACAAAATAATGAGGAGATTGCAACACAATGAGCACATATACATGTGTGCCTCATTTTATGCAACTTAGATATTACATGAAATAAATTTGTTATCTTAATATTTTAAATGGACCAAAGACGACTGCTATTTAAAGAAATTCGGTAAACAGATCTTTTTGTAAAGATAGTAAATCATGTTGTTTTGTTTTACAAATCATTTAGTCTATTTTGCTTAAAGGAAGGCACACTTGTATTACACTAAGGGAAAAAATCAGGTAATAGGGTTCCCCTTTTTACATAATACGTAATTTCCAATATAGTAAGACAATGATAAATGAAGATGGCTAAACTGATCTGTATAATTAAACACACAGCTAAATCTATCAACAGAACTTTTGATCTAGCACTTGCAGATTATAATTTAAATAGCACCACTGAAACAGCTTTCAGGCTGAAACTTAAACATCATCAACGAGACCATTTTATTTTAGAAAGTGATTAGGCACTCACATAGGTAGACATTAAGCATTCCTAATCCTAAATAATCGTATCTTTTGGCACAAACTTTTCAGTACTGTAAACAATATTGTGGTTAACTTTGGCTTTAAAAAGCTAGCCTATATTTAAATGCTGAAATGGAATCTAAATACTTAGTTAAATGATAATAATGATAAAAAATAAAACTACATTTAGAGATGAGTACCTCTAAAATCTCGTATGTATTACCAAATGTAAGTCACAACGGTCAAAAACAGCTCCCAGCTGCCATGCTTATCAAATTTATGCCTTACTTGAGGAATGAGTAATAGAATACTTTATGTATTTTTCTGACTTTTTCACCAATAAGGAAGTGAGAACTTTGATGAAAATAACACTGTTATGCCATTCTAATACAACCCCCTCTCCGAAAATTGCTTAACATTAAACAATAAAAAAAGCAAAGCCACTTAAACTCAAAGCCTCTTCCACCATTCATTTTCATGTAGTCTCTAGAATTTGATGTATCAATGTTGTGAAGAGACTCCAGGAAGGATGCTCTGAACGCTGGGCAGCAATAATAATACAACTCCTTCAGACAGCATAACTGACTGATTTGGAGTTAATCTAAAGAGAAGAGGAGAAAGCCAGGAGCAACAGAAAGCTTGTTTTTGACAGAAAAGAATATGAAGGACAGACACAAATCATGAACACAGGAAATAAAACTGTATTTGCTAGTGTCAGAGTTAAGAATATTAGCTGCAAGTCCATAGATGAAGCACTATGACCCTTACTTTTAACTATGTTCATTTATATGGCTACCATATACTAATTTCCTTCAAAACTGAAAGTTTAACAGCTAAACTTTAAGGAAATACACTAGAGCTCAAAAAGATCTACTCACTTAGATTCATCATAAGGCGTTTTACAGATACAGTAAAGCTTTGTGTCCTTCTTAGTTTCCTTTGAGGTAGTAGAGATCATTTTCTTCTTCTTGGACTTGGAGCTTGAGTCTCTTTCCTCTTCTCGCTTCCTCTTCTGGGAAGACACAGGCAGCGTGGCCGTGGCCGTGGCCGTGGCCTGGGGGCCTGAGTGCTGCGAGGGAGGCGGAGGTGGAGGCGAAGGCGGAGGGGCAGGAGGTGCAGGAGGTGCTGCAGGGGGAGTGGCAGCTGCTGCTGTGGCCTGCACTATTTCTTTTTCTTTCTTAATTTTCAGGTCTCTCTTGAGCTCTTCCTATTGTCAATTAAAGATAATACAAGACTATCATTTGACTTATGTAAATGTATAACATGACCTTACCAGAGGATGTTACGTTTCGTCCCTTGTTGAAAGTAGCTCTGCAGTTCATCTTAATGTGAGGGAACTGTAGTAATTCCAAACACCCAAGTTCTTAGTATACCTTTAACCCAATTAAAACAACTTGAGCCCTAGGTGGTGCGGCTATGTGGATCGAGCGCAGCCTGTGAACCAAAAGACTGCTGGTTCGATTCCCAGTCAGGCATATGCCTGGATTGAGGGCCGGGTCCCCAGTTGGGGACCTCTGAGAAACAACCAACTAATTTATCTCTTCCATGTTCCTCTCCCTCTTTCCTCATTCCCTTCCCCCCTCTCTAAAAAGTATAATAAATAAAATCTTAAAATAAAACAAACAAACCCCTCCAAAAAAACTCAAAATGAAAGGGAAGATGGCAATTGGGGAGGTGCCAGCTGTCCTCAAAGGAGATCTGACAGAGCAATGCACAAGTGTCTAACAGGCAATGCGCACTCCTGGTTTGCCCCTTTTGTGAATGGATTGTTTCAGTCATGGCTCAGGATGTGATTTCAAGTGTCCTCCCCCGCTGGCTGCTTTCTTCTTACTACTCACCTTCTGTGTCCTCAGAGTGAGACTGCACATGAACTGAACATGACACTCAAACTTACCAGCCCAAAGCAGAAACGAGAGACAGATGTGTCTTGTTTCTATGCCGCTATGTCAAGAATTTAAGGCTGCAGGGAGTGCACTTTCTTATTACAGATTTTGCCATAAATTAAAGTCTTTACTTTTTGTTATGTGAAATACTTTACAGACACAGCTCTGCTAGCCAGTGCTACAACTTATTCTGAGAAAAATCACTGTGACTGGCATCCATGAACAAACTTGGTGTAAATAAACCATACTTATGACCAAGCTTTTAAGCAAAATAAATATCCTAACAAATAAACCTGAATGGTTCTGGTTTAATAAATTCAGATAGTCTTGTAAATGAGAAGATAAGCTCTGTGACTTTTCAACAGCCCTTCTCTATTTAAAAAGAGAGTATGAACTTTTTCCTAGGGAAGAAAGTATATCTTGCATTTCATTTTCATAATTAATATGGGTTTATAACATAATGAAATGACTGTAGAAAAATCAAGTTCACCAAGATGGTATAGGAGGTACATACTTTGACCCTTTTGATCCCCCTTTCAAGAAAACACCAATGATAGGGAAATATAAAAAAGAAAAAACTAAAAACACATAGCCATGCTTGAATGCCACAGAAATGTCTCTATGGAACAGAAACACAAGACTATGAGCTTCTGCAGGGCTCCAGATTCAGAAGCAGGAAGTGGTGGCCTGACAAAAGCAACAGGAAGAAGGGGACTCAAGCTTCCTGTGAGGTGGGCAACAAGCAGGCTCCCTCCCTGATGTTAATGTGTGGCGGGGGCTACAGTGGGCTTCAAGGGAGGAAACAAAACAAAATCCCTTTCACCTAAAATACCAAAACAAAACCAAATGAAAATAAAACATGTAATGTGAAAAAAGACCATCAACAAAATCAATAACCAAATCTGAACTCACTCATATGAAATTAATTTCATACAATTTGATAGAAACTTTATAATACACATGTCTGAGATATTCAGAGGCCAGTGAAGGTATAAGTTCTATAAAAAATGAGTGAATTATTTTATCAAGAAGACAAGCACAGGGAAATGGAGAAGGGATGAAAAGGTGGAACACAGAGCATTTTTAGGGCAGTAAAACTATTACATATGATACTGTAATGACATGCCTCTGTATTCTGTATGTGGTATGGATATATGACATTATGCCTTTGTCAAAAGCACAGACTGTATAACACGAAACTTGATGTGAACTGTGGACTTAAGTTAATAGTAATATATTAATTTATATTACTGATGTGCCAGTACTGGCACATCAATTGTAACACGTGTACCACACTAATGCAAGATATTAACAATAGGAAAAACTGTGGGAGTGGGAGAGTAGTATATGAGAACAATCTACTGACTACATTATTTGTCTCTAAACTTAAAACTGCCTTAAAAAATAAAGTCTATTTAAAAACTGACAAGCAGAAATGATGTAAGAACAGGTAGATATAAAGAACTAGTCACACATCTTAAAAATAAAAAATAAAATCATTATAATGCTGAATATTTTCTTAAAGTATAATTTTTCGTCCTCAATAGACAATGCAGTGCCAGAGAGAACCATAACTGTATAACGTTCACAACAGTTATAACATTTCTAAGTGGCTGCATAGTACATTGAATGCAGAAAAATGTTCGGCATTGTTTGTCTCTAATGTGACTGTTTTGTATAAAATGTGTTTATATAAATACAGAGTAATATCAACAAGGTATATTCTAAAATTATTTTAAAATGGTCATCTTTGTGGCCCTGCCTGGTGTAGCTCACTGGATTGAGCGCGGGCCTGCGAACCAAAGAATCGTGGTTTGATTCCCAGTCAGAGCACATGCCTGGGTCGCAGGCCAGTTGCAGGCAGGGGACACACAAGAGGCAACCATACAGTGATATTTCTCTCCCTCTCTTCTTCCCTTCCCCTCTAAAGATAAATGAATAAAATCTTAAAAAAAAAAAAAGATCTAAAAAAAAATGGTAATCTTTGGGCAGTCTAGACTTTTAATTTTTAATTGTTGGCTAAAGGTAATTGCTTTGAAACATAATGTAAGTACTATTCTGTAACCTGCACTTTTCACTCAAACATTCACGAGAATTTCCCTCAAAAAATTAAAAACAAAAACAAAAAAAGCAGCACTAATATATGCACTGTTTTGATGAAGTGTTAGTACACTGTGTGGATCCTCTGAAACATACTTAACGCAGTGGTTTCCAGCTGAGGCTGGGAACAGTACCTCAGGAGGGCATTTGGGGATGTATGTGGAGGGGACACAATCAACTCCTTTGGTTGTTACAACAAAGGGAAAGCTACTAGCGTTTGGAACCCAAAGCTAAACCTCCTACGGAGTGTAAAAAACTGGCCTGGTGAACGGGCCCCAGTGCTCCAACTGAGAAACACCCGATTACCAATCTCTTCTTTGTGGACTTTGGGCCCGTTCTGATTCCAGATTTTTGTTGTGATTAATACTCATTATGTCCTTGCTCATGTATTTTGCCTACTTGTTAGATGGTTCTAGAAGTAAAATTGTAGCTCAAAGACTATTCATATTTTGAAATGTTCTCTAGAAATACACTGTCTTTTCTCTAGAAAAATAGTATTTTCATTTCTTTCATTATTAGGTTGAATATTCTTATGTTTATTGATATTTAACATTGTTAGATTTGAAAAATGCTTATTTATGTGATTTATACTACTAGATTTTTTTAGATTTCAGCTTTATGGAGATATAGTTAACAAAACTGTAAAATATTTAAAGTATACAACACTGTAGTAATCTGATTTACATGTATATTGTGACAGGATTCCCCTCACCTAGAAAATCAGTGTTATCTTTTGCTGATTTAAGAGCTCTTTAAATTTTAGGAATAGTAACTTTGCCATAAATGTTAACATTTCCCCCATTTGTCAAATGTTTTACAATGCTGTCTATGGTATTTTTTTCCCCTCATGCCATCTTATCTTTTTCCTTTGTGGCCTTGGAAATCTGTGATGCCTGGGAGTGACTGTTCTCACCCTAATATCACAAACATTATAATCACGTTTCCTTGTTATTTTTGTGGTTTCCTTTTTTAGACTGAAATTTTGATCTATAAAATATTTCTTAAAGTGGGAGGGAGTGTATTATATATTGCTGCTTCTGTGAATTTGCTCTTTTGTTTACTACACCTTGACAATGTTTGTAGTTCTGACATTGATAACTACCTTAATTCTCTCATAAATTTTTAATAATTTTTCTTTTGGGGTTCTGACATAATAGTATCATGCACGATAACAACTTTGTCTTCTTTGATCTTTTCTTGGCTTAACATATCAGCTAGAATTTCCAGAGACACTAAATAATAATGTCTGTTTTTCACACTGTAATCTGGTTTCTGACGTTAGTAGGAAGATTTCTAACATCTGAGGGTTATGTTGATTTTGGAGCTGATCAATATTTTAATATTTCTCAGTTTCTTAAAAGGCTCTTTTAGGGATGCTTTATGTAGCCTCCTTCTCTTTTAAAAAGCTATTTAAATATATTTGAATAAATGTTTACTTTCATTTTTCAATAAATTCCTCAAGTAAGCAGAGAAATAGCAATGATTGCCAGATAAGTTCCAAGGCCAGGAAGAAAGGTGGTACTATTATTTAATGGGCACACTTTGCTTTTCATTCTTTCAACATTATTTCACAGTTTCTGTCTAGCTTTCTCATGAAAGTTGGCTCCTGATAAGTTCTGAAAAGACTATGTCATAGAGAATAAAAGCTATTCCCAAGAGACTTTGCAAATGTTTTACTCAACTCTTAAGAGTGCCCAGTTTAGAGGTTACAACATTCATTTAGATACAAAATCTCTAAGACATGTCCCACAGCTTTTTACTAAATATATAAAAATGTAAATTCTAGAAATCAAGCTGAAATTTTAAGTTTAACCAAAATTTCAAGGGAAAAATAATGCAATTATATGCTAAAAAAAACTGGACATGGAAGGAAAGGGAATACCTTCTTACCTGTACTTCAATTTGTAGATCTTTGTCCAAGAGAGCTCTTTTTTTTAGAATTTCAGCTTTAAGTTGCTCTTTGTGTTTGAAGAGCAGGGCAGAGAGCTTGGTAGCATTCTGTTTGCTACGTTTCTGTTCCACACTCTCTTCACGCTTTCGTTTTTTTGCTGCTTGTTTTTCTTCTTTATCTATCTTATCCAAAATATACTTCATCACCTGGTTACAGACAATCATTCTAGAGAGAAATACACAACCTATGTAACACTGGGCATTTCACTCTGCAGGGCATTAACATTTTTGATGTCTCTACAGGTGATATACAAACATTCAGTGACTGTCAAGCTCCAAAGAGTGATTCAAATCAGCCATTAGAACTTATTTGTGCTGGGTTCTCATTTAATTAACTTCAATTGAGGTTAAAAAAATATAAACTCAGAACCTGCGCATTTGTATGCTAAAGAGAAGAGAGTGATATACAATGAGACCCTTTACTGGGTTATGAACATCTCTCCCTACCTTTGATTCTCTTCTCTTTCAGCTGGAGTCATGGTCTTTTTCTGTTTTAAATGTTCTATTACAGCATTATGTTTCATCACCACCTTCGGGACAGAACAAAATCCAAAGTGCATATTTTATAATGACTACAACTTGGTACACAGATAACAATAGAAATCTGAGCATAAATATGTTTCCCAAAGAAGGTAAGAATTTTCTACCACAACACAAATAAAATTAGAGCTATATGGTCTGGGTGCTTACCACATATTGACAATGCCTCATTTATTCCTCATAACAATGAAAGGTAGGAATAATTTTATAGAGAGATCCTAAGACAAAATAAGAACTATATATGTAATTCTAGCCCAGCCATTATTCTCCAAAGGCCATGTTTTTAACATTGTGACATTAATTTTAAGGATTCTCTCCGTCCCTATCCTGCAGATAGGCTAAAGATAGATATTACAATATATAAATGTCACTTTATAGACTATACAGTATTAAGATCTGAGTAATAATACATTTTAACATATTATATATGTTAATTTTATAATTCTATTACTATAGATCTTTTAAACTCTTTTACTATTTAAAAAGTGCTTCTAGCCCTGCCTGGTGTGAGTCAGTAGACTGATTGCCAGCCTGAAAACCAAATGGTTGCCGGTTCAATTCCTAGTCAAGGCACATGCCTGGGTTGCATGCCAGGTCCCCGGTTGGAGGTATGTGAGAGGCAACTGATCGATGAGCCTCTCATACATCAATGTTTCTCTCCTTCTCTTTCTTCCTAACTTCCCCTATCTCTAAAGATAAATAAATAAAATCTTTTTAAAAAAGTGCTTCTAATAATATAATCATCAAAGTTACACCTGGCTGGTGTAGCTCAGTGGATTGAGCGCGGGCCTGCGAACCAGACAATCGCGGTTCGATTCCCAGTCAGGGCACATTCCTGGGTTGCAGGCCAGTTCCCTGCAGGCCAGTTCCCAGCAGGGGATGCACGAAAGGCAACCATACATTGATGTTTCTCTCCCTCTCTCCTTTCCTTTCCCTCTAAAGATAAATAAATAAAATATTTAAAAAAAAAAAGTTACTAAGAGACTAAATATTAATTACTGGAAACACTATAAAGATGACAATTATGTGACATGACAGAAGTACTAGTTAACATCACAACAGCAACATTATAATATGTAAATATATGAAACCAACATGCTGTACACCTTAAATTTACACAATGCTGTGTCAAATACATGTCAAGAAAAACAAAAGTGCTTCTACATATACCACCTCATTCAATCATTACAATGACCTTGGGTGCTGGAAAGAGGGAGTTTTGGTGAGGATACGGCTAGAGGACACTGGTGAATTTCAGGGGCTGTGAATGGGAGACCCAGGGACTGAATGCAGGTCTCATGACATGGGAACACTTGAAATTCACACTCAAAACTCCTGACTAGTGCCAGGCGGCGCATGCTGTAGATGCAAAGAAAACTTTTTATAGTAATGTTATACATGTGATTTCATTTTAAGTAGAATAAATCTTACTCATCTAAACTCTTACTTCACTAAGATGCTATTGCGTAATACCACTTTACATGTAAGTCATGGAATAATATTTAATACTTACAAAGGTGTGGCTAGAAATGCAAATGAGTTTAGCCAGTCTATAATTTACTTAGTCTACATGCAAACTAAGGGATGACAACTATAAATAACTTCAAACAAATTGCTGTGAGGCCTGCGTGGGTTTAAAGCTTCATTAAACCTTCCAGTTTTCTATTAATGATACTTCAACTCCTAACTCCTCCATTCTTTCCATCTTAGTTCTCCCAAAATACAGGTAGTTTTTCTAATAAGCACTAACTACTGCCAACAAAGAGTTCCACACCATAATACTCATTTGATATTTTTGGTCAAACCAGTGCTGCTTCTAAAGTGAAACATCAATGACTTCTGTCTCATTTAGGAAACCTCATACAACCAAACACTAAGTCTAATGCACAGCACAATAATTCAAGCTACTGAACATGCTGCTTTTACTTAATAACTTTACCTGTTTCTGAATGATTTCACTTTGATTAGAAGCTTGGAGGGTGTGTTCCCGCTTAATTTCTATCTGTTGCTGTTTCTTCTTTTGCTGCTGATCCCTGAGTTGCTGAACCCTTTGCAACTGCTCTTGCACACTGGCTGCCTGCACTGTAACCACATTCTGAATCTGGTGAGTCTGCACAGGACTGCTTTGCTGAATTTGAATAGGTAACTGAAGTTTGATTTGCTGGGGCACACCACCTTGCTGAGCCTGTATCTGAGCCACAACCTGCGACTGGATCTGAGAGAGAACCTGGACTTGTTGTTGCAGCTGAGGCACAGCAATGACTTGGGGCTGTGGCTGCTGTATTTGTAGCTGAGGACGGGATGGGGATGAAACAGTAACTTGACTTAACGTCTGTCCCGATGAAAGAGTTTGAGGTGAAGACTGTACCTGGGGTTGTGACTGTGGCTGGCCCTGGGAAGGTATCTGAAGAGATGTATGTGGCTGAATTGGAATCGGTTGTGAGGTTGTAGTCTGAACCTGGGATTGCTGACCAGGAGACACCTGGGATGGAGTTGATGGACGTATTCGAGCCTGCGGTGGACTTTGGACACAAGCAGGAGGCTGTCCTTGGACATTACTTTGAGGCTGACATTGTACTGCAACTTGGGGTTTGGATGACTGTGCTTGGGTGGGTTGTGCTTCAGAAGGAACATGGGATGCAACAGTTGTTTGGGTTTGAACTTCAGGCTGAGGCTGAACTTCAGGTTGAGCTGGGGACTGGGGCTGCGCTTGGGGCTGGGGCTGAGCTGAAGGCTGAGCAGCCTGTGGCTGGGATTCCGGAGGATTCACACTTGATGACTGCACTGGTGGCAGGGTTTTGGCTGGTTGCACCTGTGTCGGGGGTGATAATTTACTCTGTCTTTGTTCACTTGTACCTATGAGAAAGAAAATCCAAATAATTCTATTATTCTATAAGAACAAAAGACCAAGATTAAAGAAGAATTTGAAGGGGATTTTCTAAAGGTGAAAACTCTGTATTTCAGTATAAAAGACTGATGCCTTAAAGGCTCCATTTAGACAAACTTGGGTTAGGAATCTTTGAAATTGGGAAGTGTGGGCCCTGTTTTATGGCCACCGTCTGCACACTTTGTTGACTCTCCAGATAGCTAGTTTCCAAAGTAAGGCTCAGTCTCTGGAAATCAGCCAGGCCTTTTGGCCCAGGCAAGTGCTCACACCCTCATTTTGCTCCTACAGTGTGGTGGCAGTTAGTGATGGCAGCTTGCAGAAAGCAAACAAAGTGGTTCTGAACCTGCAGCTCGCACTTTCAGTTTATGAGCTGGATCTATACACCCACCCACCCTAAGATTAACTCCATGGTTCAACCAGTGCCTATAAGGCTTCCAAGGGATGTGAGAGTAGTTATTAAGACGATTCTACCCCCTCACATCCCTTTCTATGTATTTTATGAAGGGTGAAGGTGAAAGAGTTTGTAAGAATAAGAGATCTTGTTGAGCTGTTGTGAGGCTGACCAGCCAACTGTTAGGCTTACTGGCTTGAGGTATATGCCTCCCAAGATGAGCACTAATCTCTTATTCCCTCTGCTAGCCCAACAACTTCTGGCAATAACAAGCAGTGCTGCCAATAAACCCAAGTTCTACCTGCTGCTGCGGTGGATACAGTGGTGGTGGTGGTGGTGCTGGCTGTTGTGGCTGTTGTTGCCAATGGGGTAAAGAGGAATCGCTGAACAGTACCATTTGGCATCGCAGCTTGCATCAGCTGCTGTCCTGGACCTGGAAGTATAGTCACTCCTTGAGGTATCAACTGCAACTGTCCAGTAGTTTGACCTTGTCCTTGAATTACTACTGTCAAACCTTGATTCCCACCCTACGGAAAAAACACATAACATGTAAACAGAATTCAAAGTATCAATCTGTAAGTATACCATTTTTATGTTAGAAGACAACATAATGAAAATATGTCTTTAAATGTCTATGGAATGACACCATAAGGAATTCAGATAAGCTAAAATAAGAATATTTATTTAAAAAGACTGATGCTGTTTATTGGAAGAACCATAAACCAACAACCCAGAGTGTTCTGGTCCACACTCTCCAAATGGACAGTCAGGAATCTGTCTGTAAGTAATAGCACTCCTCCAGATCTAAATCATCCAAATTTTAAACTACGATACTCCTCCTTATCCATGGTTTTGCTTTCTGCAATTTCAGTTACCCACGGCCAACTTCTGTATGGATATATTAAATAGAAAATTTAAGAAATAAACAATTCATAAATTTTAAATTGTGTGCTGTCATGAGCAGTGTGATGAAATCACGCACTGACTGCTTCAAGCCCCCTGGACCAGGAATCACCCCTGTGCCCAGCTCATCTTGCCTATGCTGCATGTACTCCCACCATTAGTCACTTTAGCAACCCTCTTGGTTATCCATCAACTGTCTCACTACTACAATGCTTGCGGTGTTCAAGTGACACTTATTTTACTTAATAATACCCCTAAAGCACAAGGGCAGCGATGCTGGTCATTCAGATATGCCAAAGAGGAGCCGTAAAGTGCTTCCTTCGAATGAAAACGTATATATGTGTATAGGAAGAACATAGTAAATACAGGGTTTGGTATGGTCCGTGATTTCAGGCATCCACAGGGGTCTTAGAATGAATGCCCTATAAATAAAGGGGGTGGGGGGACTACTATAAAGACACTGAAGTGAAATGATAAAATCAACAAAAAATTCTGATTTTCAACATTCTATATTCATACTGTTTTATAACTTCGAAGCACCGTTACACATACTGCCTGCCTCATGTGAGTTTTCTCACAATGAACTTGTGACTTTGTGGATTAAGATGAGAAAATATTACTATGATCTTATTAGCAGTTAAGAAACTCAAGTCACAAAGTTCATGCTCCTTGCCCAAAGTTAGAGAGCAAGTTAAACATGAGATAAAAAGAGGAACCCAGGTCTGCCAGGTTTCCAATATTGACCAAATTATCTAAACTTAGGCTTTCAGACCTGGAAAGCAAATACCAAGTCAAGAGGGTCACTAATGTCCAAGCAGCTACCAACATGGGAACCAGGAGTTAAAACTCTGCATGTACTGCCTTCTTCTGTCCAGGCCTTACTAATCTGGTATCCTTAACTACCAGCAACACATGAAGGAGAATTAGAAAGCAAAAGCAGAAACAACCCGCCACAAATTCCCAACAGCCAAACTTTGTGCTACAAAATTCATGTATGAAATCTAAAAAACACATACTTTACTCATGAGTCCCTTATCTACTCTTGCTTTTCGAAATGATTTTTTGTATACATTCAAAAATACTTAAAACACCAAATAAACATCTGTAACACCAGGCTTCAGGTCATCATTGCCAGTATCTAAGAAGCACCCCCATGTGACCTGTTCTGATTTTTCTTCCTTTCTGTTCCCTAGAGCAACTACTATTTTCACTGTGATGATAATATTGCATTCCTTCAGAGTATTACTACTCACATACAGATCTTTAAAGGTTCACAACTTCAGGAGCATCACCCACAAAAAATACGAGAATGGCACCCCTGCTAGATAAGCAATGCAGTAGCTCTGTAACCCTACACAATATGGCCACTTTTGCCTGTTTCTGAATTTTATGCAAATGGAATTGCAATTTAAGTTTGTTTGTAGGATTATACTAGAATTTATTTATCTAACTGATCATACATGGACATTTGGGTTGTTCCCAGTTTTCACTCCTGAACAATGCTGTCATGGACATTCATCATGCGGTGCTCACACCAACAGACCCTCTCTAGGGAGTACACCTGGAAACAGAACCACCGGGACCCAGGGCACACACATCTTCAACTTTGCTAGGTAATGTCTACTTTTCCAAAATGGCTCAATGAATTTATACTACTGCTACCAGTTGTACACAAAGGATTCATTCTGTGCTGTGTCTTTAACTCTTCATTTTGTCCAGCATTTTAATTTATACCAATCTCTTATGTATATGCCTTTCGAAAGCATTGCCCTCATTACAATAAAGTTCAGCATTTAGATGTCCTTTCTTCTCAAAAGGGAGAGCTGTTGTAGCTCTCCCTTTTTTTACAATGAGCTACTGAATTTTTCTTCTTAACTCATATTAATTCTTCACATATTCCTTGTTTGGTTGTATTTATACTTTCTCATTCTTTTCACTCTCTTTTATAATGTAGTTGAATTCACTAAATTTTCATCTATGGGCAGTGTTTTCTATGTGTTTAATAAAGCCTTTTCGACACGAAAGTTATGAAGACTGAGTGAGGCAGTGTCTAATCTCATGGTTTCCCATATATATTCAATTGTCCCAGCACCATTTACTGAAAGTGTCCTTTCCTCAATGTTCCGCAACACCAACTCTAATATATTACAAGTGTCCACATAGGCATGGATCACTTTCTGTACTTTTTTATATTGTTCTGGAGGTCTACCTATCCTTGTTTTTATATCTTGCTCTATTAATTAATGAAGCATTATACTATGTTTTGATATCAGGTTATTACATAAAGCAAATCCTACAGTTTTTCAAAAGTATGATAGCAATTCTTAATCCTTTGTATGTCCATATAAATTTAAAAAATCAGCTTATCTCCCTGGCTGGTATAACTCAGTCAACTGAGTGTGGGTCTGAGAACCAAAGGGTTGCTGGTTTGATTCCTGGTCAGAGAGCATGCCTGGGCTGTGGGCCGGGTCCCCAGTGGGGGCGGTGCCCGAGGGGCAACCACACACTTATGTTTCTCTCCCTCTTTCTCTCTCCCTTCTCCTCTGTCTAAAAATAAATAAATAAAAAATTTCAAAAAAGCTTATCAAGTTCCACGGGAACTGTATTCAATCTATTAATTACTATTAGAATAATTGATTACAATATTGAGCCTTGCAAGGAAGCAACCTGATGTACTCAGATTTTATTTTTCCCATGGAAATGGGTCAACCAATAAAATTTTGGTGGTTAAAAGGGGTGGAGAAAGGTTATACCCTTTCTCATTGTTATAGCTCATGGTCTAAGGATACCAGATAGGTAAGGCTTATCATATACTACCAAGAAGTATTTTTGTTTAACCCTAAAAAGCAGCCATATCTTACTTAAAACAAGTGCTTTTTTAGTTTCTGAAAATAAGTACTCTTTTAAAGTTACAACAAGAATACGATCACCTCTAAAGTTAAAATGATGGTGTGTTACTTACGTGGCCCTGTGTTAACTGAGTGAGCTGAGCCATGGTAAGCTTCACCTGTCCTTGTTGGGGGCGAGGGGACTGCGATGTCGAAGACTGCAGATTTGCAGTGGATGTTCCTGAAGGTAGTCCTTTCTGCCCAGGTGTAGAGGAAACTGTATTAGGGGCAGAGATTGCAGTGGAAACGGGCTGACCTCTGATGATCTGAGTCACCACTTGCTGAGGAGTACCTAGGCAAACAGCAAAGCATCACAAATATTTATAGGCCCTTAGCACTCTTGAGTTCAAATATTTTAACACTTCATTCAGATGAATGTATTCTTTTCAGTTTTCAAGAAAGCCTGATGGGATGCCAACAGCTCAAGGATGTGTTCAGACATAGAAGTGTGCCCAAAGGATTCACCTTGTTGTCAGTGAGCAAGTTTTCAGTCATATTACTGACAACCACCTCCAGTTCCTGCTATCGGTAGTACAGTGGAAAAGCCATTAATATTTTTCCTGTATGTCTAAAGCCAAAATGACAATAGGGAAAACAGAGAATAATATGTAAAATATACCATTTATAAGGCTGCCTTTCCTTAGGAATAGAACATTAAAATAATATAAAATTAATTCATGTGAATCTTAAATAAAACACAACCTGAAATATTCTGGGTCAATTATAAACAGGCTTTTCCTACAGCTCTGTGTCAGATAGTTTGGGAGAAGCGTGAGGGGAAGGACCACTATATTCTTGTCTTACTGCGCTTCTTTTTGATGAGCTTCACAGTTGACACCTTTTTTTTTTTTTTAACAAACTGAAGTCAAGACGTGCCACCAACAAAAAGATTATGATTTGCAACATTTGCTTTATTGCAATGGCTTGGAACCAAACAAGCAGTACCTCTTAGACATGCCTGTACTTGTGCAAAGTGCTCAAAGAATGCATTCACAGTTATTGTTTAGTAAAAACTACTGATGAGTGAAGTTCTAAAGCCTTCTAAAAACTACCATTTCTCATTTAACTTACTGAAACTGGAAGGGAGGTGGGATTCCCCTCCAATCTGTCCCCTGCAGGATGGTTGCTAAGAGTAATTATTTGGGACCTAATTTCACAAAGTACTATTCTTTATTAATAGTGAATAATGTCACATTTTTGAAGTTTGGTATTCACTTCCTTTCTTCCTTCTATTCATGTATATTTCTTTTAATGACTGGTGGTTAATATGACTGCATATATATAAAATTGAGCATATTTTGACATTTAGACTACCTTCTTTTTTTCCTTTTTAAATAATTCCATGGTGAAATCCTTGCTTATACATTTTTATGGGCTTCTAATTGTTTCCTTAGAATAAACACCTCCACAGTTACTAGGTTCATAGTAGGAACACAGCACTAACTTGAATTTTAGAAACATTGTATCAATTCATACTCCAACCATACTGAGTGCCCATTTCAGGGAACAATAAAGCCCTAGATACTGTCACTAAAAATATTTCAGCAATCAGAAAGAATATGATCACAGTACTTGAATTTCTTCAATTACTATAGAGGGTCAACATATAAAGCTGTCAAGTCATTGTAATTCATTTGTAAATTTTCTCATAGTTACTTTTTACACATTAAAGATATGTGACTAAATAGCAAAAATGAATTTTTCTGACTCTGCTGTCTGCCTTTTATTTGTAAACCTGTAAGTTTTTTCATGTGGATTTTCTTTATGCTTTTACTTATTGCTCTTGAAAGTTTTCCTGTATTCTGAGGTTAATAAAAAGTTTTCTTGTATTCTCTAGTCAGATATATCTTCCCAAGTATATTCTGAATCACAGTATATGTTGTCTATTACCCCCCCAAAAAACTGATTATCCCAGTGTCATTTCCTCATAAATCCAGTCCTTCTTGATTCAAACACACCACCTTTGAGACACAGCACATTCTCACATATAATACATTCTTGCATACAATGCATCTTGGTCTACTTTTCTTTGGTATCATGTGTCTAATTCTGGGATGGGGGCTAAAAATACATTTTAACAACTGGCAGTGCACGTTTTCCATCATTATTCTTTCTTCTAAACTTTTCTTAGTTATTCTCATCCATTCTTCAAGATGAATCAAAAAACCCGTACAGCCCGTGTAGTCAAGGGCTTTAATTTGAGAATCTGCACCTCAACAGTAAGTCATCGTACTGTAGGTCAAAGAGCATTGCATGAAAGGTTACTTTAGTTGATCACTTGGAACTGATATGGTGTCATCATAAACACATTTAACAGGATGGTAGCAACTGATTATATGATGGTCATTCAGATAATAATCCACAATACGTACATGTTACTTTTAGATTATCATCAAAATGCAATCACAAAAATTTAAAATTTTTATTACATCCCAGGAGTCTGTGGATTGCACTGTAGGAAAGGCTGGTGTAGGGAAGGAATAGGGATAAGCTGATCCACGCACACTGGAACACATATAGTGCCCACCCATAGGACCTCTCGTGACCACAACTGCTGTAACTCTTCTCATATTCACTGGGTCCTACCAGCACCACAGGCCATCTTGCTTTCCCTTTGACACGACATTCCCACTCATATTGAAGCTATATAGATTCCCACACACAAGTCAAACAGGTATTTGCAGCTACACAAGGCTTTAGGAAACAAAGGCTCTATGTATCTTGCAATCATCAATTTTTTCAGCTTTTTTAAGAACATTATCATTTATGACCTATAATTTTCCCTTTACATTATTTTATTTTTCCTTTCAGTTACCTGCCTGACATCTGTTTTTAAACAGGAATGGATATTGATTTTTTATCACTTGTCTCTGTAGCATTAACAAATCATACTTTGTTTTCTGTGATAAATCCTGCTTGGTCATCAAAAAACAAAACAAAACAAAAAACTGCCTGTAACTGTGTTATGTTTCCTATTAGAATTACACTAAATTTGTAAAATTTAGTCTTCCTAAACAGGAAAAAATTTAATCTTCTTTCCCCATGTTCTAGAACTTTTTTCTTAAAAGATTTACTTCTTTACTTATATTTCAGAGAGAGGGGAAATGAGGAAGAGAGGGAGAGAAACATCCATGTGTGGTTGCCTCTCACACACCTCACTAATGGTGACCTGGCCTGCAACCCAGGCATGTTCCCTAACTGGAAACGGAAGACCCTTTGGTATGCAGGCCAGCACTTAATCCACTGACCTACACCAGAAAAGGCTGTATAACTATTTTTCATAAGAAAAAATTGTTTGTTTCCTAATCTTTTTGAAGAATTTTACCATTAAAATAATGAAATCTAGGATTATATTTTATAGGTAATAATATGGCAAAACTTCCCAAATTTTCTTTCTTTGACATGAGTCACTGATATTTGAAATTTATAAGAATAATATATGTTTATGTCTAATTATTCAAAAGATTTAATTCCTGAGTACAGATAGTGAGAATTTTCAATGTTTTAATGCAAGGATACCTGTAAACAACTATTTTTAGATTTTTCTATTTTTAAAGTACTTTCTCATGCCTAATTTTTGAAACTACCATTTTATTATCTTTTCTAAAGATGAGATTTGCAAAGAAAAGGGGCTTATTTTAATAATATTTAACTTGTTTTCTAATCATATTTAAATTTTAATTTCCTCCTTTTCATTTAAGATTTTAAATATTTTTCTAACTTTTTGTTAAGATTTAGGAAAATGGCTTCTTTGGCCTATTATGTTCACCAATGTACTTCAATTACCTAGAGTAGGTGCTCGAGGATTAATTAAAAAATGAATTTGCTCCTGAGTTTAGCTTTGGCAGCATAGCATAGCTGCTATTTGATAATCCGTGTGAAATTACACATTTGATATTTAACTTAAAACTTACTTGTGAGAAAATATTATTTTTAAATTTCTAAGCAAGTAACAGTTATTACTATAATACTTTAATACATTAATTTAAAGCTTTATTACAAAGAATGTGGCCTAACAACATTCCACTTTTTAGAATTCATTAAGGTTTCTCACCCATGACACATTACATGACTATTTTCATGCAAATCACCCATAAATATTTAAAACCAGTGTGTATTCCTCAAGGTACAAAAATTGATATATGGTCTATTTTTGATGTACTATCTTCTGTTAATCTCATCTTGATTTCAAATAATTTTGTATTAAAACATTTCAGTGATAATCTTATTTAGTTCATGAAGATTCCAGATTGCATTTGCATTGTAACCTTTGTCTTTAAGCCAATGTAAAATGACCTACTTTGCCCCATTTGGAGTTTTCTGAAGACAGTGAACTCTACTCTTTCCAATATAGGCAGGATTCTTATCCTCCTCATTGCTCCCATCTTTCTATTTCTTTCTTTCTTTCTTTTTTTTTTTTTGACTTTTACTTCAAGTAGCTTTGCCCATCTTTTGATTAACCTTCTGTGGTGATTTGATTTTAGTCATGTTTCTCAAAAATGTATAGATGGATTTTTTCATTCATCTTTACATTCTTCAAATTTTTTTTAAATTTATTTTTTAAGATTTTATTTATTTATCTTTAGAGGGGAAGAGAAGAAGAGAGGGAAAAAATATCAGTGTATGGTTGCCTCTTGTGGGTCCCCTGCTAGGAACTGGCCTGCAACCCAGGCATGTGCCCTGACTGGGAATGAACTGGGAATCAAGATTCTCTGGTTCGCAGGCCCGCACTCAATCCACTGAGCTACACCAGCCAGGGCACATTCTTCAAATTTTAATATGAAAGCTTTGGCCTATTTACACTAATAAAGGGCTGGCACTGCCTTGTAATCTTGTTTTATTATTTCTGTTTAAATGCTTCTTAGCTGTTTTCTTGATTTTATCTTCATCTTTTAATATACGTACTGTTTTCTTAACTCATATTCTACTCCAATTATTTGAATGTATATATTCTATTTAATGGAGGTTTAAAAATATTTTTGAAAGATTTTATTTATTTTTAGAGAGAAGGAACAGGGAGGAAGAAAGAAAGGGAGACAAACGTGTGTGAGAGACACATTGACCAGTTGCTTCTCCCACACCCCCAACTGGGGACCTGGCCTGCAACCCAGGCATGTATTTGTACTGGGAATTGAACCAGTGACCTCTTGGTTCACAGGCTGGCACTTAATCCACTGAGCCAAACCAGCCAGGGCTTAAAAAAAATTTTAGTAAGCATAATTGGATCTATTTTGCAATGACAGAAATAATATCTATGAATGCATTCTATGATGTATTAGAAATTTAGTATGCTTTGAAATCTTAATTCAAATTGGTATTTTCTAGTATGTAGAGTGCCAAATACAGAGAGTATTACAGATTTCCTGGACTGGTTGTTCAGATGTAAAATGATTAATACTGGATGGAGGAATACCTGGCTGTACCATCACAGGTGTTCGAATAATTGCCTTTCCTAATGTTGACTGTTGGAGTGGTGTTCTAATCACCGTCATACCAGGGCGGATCTGAGGCCCTGTGATTACCTATAAATGACACAAAAGACAATGAATTAAAATGTTTTAAAAAAACTGAAGCATGATGGACTCAGAACATAGATCTTTAAATATTGTATGTTGGTAAACAATTCTACAGAAATGACAAAAGACTCTTGGATATTCTATTTTAAATTATATTAGGTATCAGATAAGAGAAAATTTAATTCAAATGAGATCATATGAAATTCCTTGTCATAGATACCAAGAACAGCCTACCGATTAAAAGGAAGAAATAAGACCCAGTAAAGCTCTAATCTATAATCATCATAGTTGCTCACAGAAAAATGTTGCATTCTATTTTCCCTGAGATCCAATACCTATCTGTAACCAGGATATATTAAGAGTAAGATCACAAGCCAAATGTTATTTTATAATGTAAAAGGAGACTACAAAGCATGCTATTTTCAATTTTATAGTTAGGATCAAAACATTTTCAACTCTACAAAACTTTAAACCTTCTCCATATTACTAGTGCCAAAGAAATGATATATCTAACAGTTGTACACACCAGCTGATTACAAACTAGTTATAGTGCTGTGGATTGTATTTTTTGTTCTATTTCTTAGCTACATACCAAGTCTCCTAGGGTGGTTCTTCAGTACTTCATATAAAGGAATTTTCTGTATAAAACCCTAGAAAGCAATTCTTAAGCTTCATGTACTATACTAATGAATCAATTCTTATGGTTCATATACTACACTAATGCTATTAAGTAAACAATAAACAATTCATGTATCATTTTTACTTAGAAATATAACAACAGATTTTTTTAAATCGGTACTTTGTCACAGATTATGTAAAAGGAAAGGAAAAATTAGAAGCGGGATTAACTGTGGAAAAGGTCATTCTAAAATCCTGATGTGGGTAACACTACAAAGCAAAACAAGCCCATAAAGAATTCTTACTTGTGACGTGCTTGCGGTTCCTCCAGAGCCCGAGGTATTTGGCCTAATTGTGACCGTTGCTGTCCTGGGCTGGAATGAAGTAAAGGTTTGCTGACTTGTACCTGTACTTGATGGAATGATACCCAGGACTTTCTGTTGTACTTGAACAACACCTTAAAAAAAGATAAAGAAGTAATTAACAACTGCCCTTTTAATAAAAAGCATCAGGTGTTGCTCAGCTTCTGGGGAGAAACTAGGTGTGGCACGGTTTTACAGTGGGCTACACAAAATGTGGTATCTGAGGACTGAAATCAGTGAAAAGGAAATGAAAAATGATGGCAACGGTATGATCTGGCAAATGTGAATTAAAACTCTTCACATTTCCCTTACCTCCTTGTGTTGCTGGCACATTTACAGCGACAATCTTGCTGTTTGCAGGAAGTGGCAGTTTGGTAATTACTTTTCCTGCCATAGTGACTGGATTGCCTGTAATTTGGAACGTCTGACCTGTGCTGGCAATGGTTGTAGCAGATGTGGCAGCTGTGCTGGTGGCTAATAGGGTATAAGACATTTAATAAGCTTTAGATTTAAAAGAACCAGCAACGTAGTGACTTCTGGGAAGGGCACCAATGCATGAAATGTGGTTCATTTTGTCCAAAAAATTAATTAAAAAAATAAAATAAAATAATCATCCTCTCCAATCAAAATGAACTATGTAAATGTTGAAAGTGAAATAATTTAAGAGAGGAGTTTTGTAATGTAATATTATGAATATTATCTGTAACAAGCCAACTGTTACAGCATGTTTGCTCAATCTGCTGCAGAAGAAAAACAATTTTCTGAAAAAATGTTTTATTTCAGCAGGTAATTGATTGCAAATCTTTTTCTTGAATGAAAGTAATCTTTAATTTAATCACGATTTTGTACCTGAATTTGATTGGCCTTGTTTAACCCATGTAGCAAAGGTCTGATGGAAGTTCTTGTTCTGCTGGAATGTTACTGTTGCTGGAGATCCAACTTTAGTAGTTAGTACCATTTTAGTTCCAGGTGTAACTGAACCACTTATGGGGGCCACCATAACTTTCTGTGCTGGAGAGATGGTACTAGTTGTACTGTTTGTTGGAGAAGTTGCGGAAGCTGAAATTACTGTAGGCTTCTGCTGTTCCAACCGTTTCTAGAAAAGTAAGGGAGGGAAAACATGAACCAAAATAGCTCTAAATACCATTCTGCAGTAAGTACAGCTACAGTCTCTCCCAGTGTAAGAAACTGCACCAAATTTTGAAAATACTTTACTTTGAAAAGATGCCCATATAAATTTACCCTGAATTTAATTTCCTGTTGAAAATATTTTTATGACTCTAAGTCACATCATAATTTACTAAAAGTAGTAAGTTTTTCATAATAAGTAATTAAAAGCACTATCAAGTTTTTTTCAGCCTGCAGAAATGTCCCAGCTTTTGGACTGAAAATAACAGACACGGACAAACTTACTAGACACAGGAACACCTTGCTCCTCAGCAGTGGTATTTAGGGAAGATAACAAATGATATAAACTGTGAAAGATTTATGGTTTACCATAATGTTAATTTATCCAATCATAAAGAACATGTCGATGTTTAAACATCTTATTCAATATGGCAAACCTGTGATAAACAATCTGAATATTATAAAACAATTTTCCTAGTCTTATTTTTGAGTTCAAACACTTTTACCAAAAAATACTTTGGACTATTTTGTATAGAGTGGTATAATCTGATCTTTGAGACTATACAGTTACTAAAGACAACCTGTGTACCTTTTATCATAGATTGCTGCCATTTCCTGACAGTTTACAAATGTGATGGTATAAGCTTACACAGATAAAAATAGGTGGCATGGACTACAAAGCTGGTAGCAGATACTCTACCTTCATTATTTTTTTTAATAGATTTTATTTATTTAGTTTCAGAGAGAGAGGAAAGGGAGGGAGAAAGAGAGACAGAGAAACATTGATATGTGAGAGAAACATCAGCTGCCTCTTTGCACTCTTTCAACCGGGAACATGCTCTGCAAAATAGGCATGTGCCCTGACCAGGAATGGAATAGCCAACATTTTGCTTTGTTGGATGGTGTCCAACTCACTAAGCCTAGTTGGTCAGGGCTACCTTCATTATCTCATTTAATGCTCAGACCAAACCAATATAAAGTGCTGGCATTGTGATTTAAAGATACAGAAACTAAAACTCAAGAGAGGCTGTGAAATTGGCCCAAAGCCAGATCTAGTCAATGGTAGAGCCAAGATCCAATTTCAATTCTGAAATATCTCCTGCCACTGGAAACTACTCATCAATGACATCCCACCCAATCTTCTTAGGACTTTTATATACATCCCTGATCCTGAGTAACATGAGGTATTTCACATAATTTCTCATTCCTCAGAAGAAAAGGAATTTAGTTTTGGATACTTAGATGCATCATATAATCGAAATAATTTAAAAAAGGAAGCAAAAAAAACTGAACACATATCTAGCAGTTCTTTCCGGAGGCTGTCTTCAAAATTGGACCTGTCGACTATCTTTGTAAACAAGCATTTTACAGAAGATTTAAAAAGTAAATCATTAGGTTACGTTGTAAAGATGACAAGACACTCATGAAATGAAAAACAAAACCACCAGCCAGTTTTTCTATGAATGAACAGAATCCAAAAGTACTACTGTTTCAAACTTTGATATAATTAAAGATAATGACCCTATAGTAAACCAATGTAAAAAAAAGCTAAGAATTTGAAAAAAAAGTTTTATAAAATGTGAGAGGAAAAGGTGGTTTGGAATAAAAAGCTGGTTTATATAAAATGTAATTTTTTAAGTTATGTGTAGCTTAAGTTGATGTTATTATAGACAGACAGATATCTATTTCATCTACACATCCAACATGGCCAAAACCTTTTATAATATCTCTTTAACAGAAAAAAAAAGGGGTAGTTATCTTTTATGTGCATCTGCAGGAAAAGAATTACCTTTGAAACTTACAACTAAAAAAAAACAAGAAACAACCCATTAAATTATAAAGATAATAAATCTTATTTCAAATGTTGTCCCCAAATATATATATTTTCTTTTTCTGTTTCTTTTTTAACATTTTATTTATTTATCTTTAGAGGGGAAGAAAAGGAGAGAGGGAGAGAAATATCACTGTATGGTTGCCTCTTGTGTGTCCCCTGCTGGGAACTGGCCTGCAACCCAGGCATGTGCCTTGACTGGGAATCGAACCACGATCCTTTGGTTCGCAGGCCCACACTCAATACACTGAGCTACACCAGCCAGGGCCAAATATGTATACTTTTTACAAAACTACAGCTTGGTGTATCCACAGAGCTCCTTTCAAGTAATGAAATTAAGATATATGTGAGATACACTTAAAAATGAAACCACATGAATATATAATTACTGTGCTTTCAGTGTGCATGACGTTCGCTAGAAATGTCAATTCACTGCCAGGTGGGACCGGTACCAACTCCCCCACCTGCTGGGCAGCCAACCGCTGCTGTTTGAGGTGAGCCTCCATTTGGGCCTTGAAGTCCTCTGCCTTCTTCTGTTCACTAACCTTAGCCTGTTGCTCAACTGCTTGTGCCTTTTCTTTCTCCACTCTGCAGGGAAAAAAAGGAGGAACTTATCAGAAACTACCCTATTAGGTTATTTGGCATCTAATATTAACTGAAATCTGGTTGACCTTTACATGATGAAGAGGTCTCAAATTATTTTAAAAATAAAAGTTAAATTAAGATAATTAGAAATTGATATATAAAATTAGCACAGGGCCATAATAAATGATATACAACTAGTACTTAAAATCAAAAGGTAGAGTAACATAGGACACACTGAATAAAGTATTAAGAAGGTAATTCTTTAATTCTGAAGTGATAAAATTTTCAAATATCTGATAACGTGTTAGCCATTTGCTTCTTACCTCTCAGCAAACGCCCTGATCTCCCATAGTTCCAACTCTTCCTCCGCTACCCAGGTTTCAATAATAACAGGGCCAGTTTGCTTGGGTGTTTCTGGTCTCTTTGGCCGCAATGCACTTGATCGAAGGCCTTTCCTCTGAGGTGTTGGTGTTTCTTGAGAAAAGAAATCAGAGTATTTTAAGCAATATAGCTCCGAAAATTACAGTACTTCTGGCATCTCCTCTTAATATATCATGAAAAGCAGGGATTGCCAACCTTTTTCTTGAAAAGCCAGATGGTAAATACTATGTGGGCCAGATGGTCTCTTACAATTTCTTAACTCTGCCTTTGCATCACAAAAGGAGCCAAACACAATATATAAATGAGTAAGTGTGGCTGTGTTCTAATCCAACTTTATTAACAAAAGCAGGAAGTGGGTCAAGGCTCATGGGCACCTAATACGAAGGCCTATGGACCTTTCTGAAGCTTGTTCCCTTTGACTGGAATACTATTCCTAGCCTTCCACCCCTCACTTGACCAACAACTACTTATCCTTCAGACCCTAACATGGATATGACTTCCTTCAAGAAGCATGGCTCGTTCTTCCCACAGCTCGGCTGGGTATCCTTGCCATGTACAACTGTGGTGATCTATATTTTCCCATCAAGGCACTAAAGAAGGGGGTGGCTTGATAGTTACCAACATTAATGAAGAGATCCTGAAATACTAAAAATAGGTAAAATATCCTAATGATAAAATTTCAAAAAAAAAAAAAAAATAGGGAAAGGTCCAAGTATTGGACCCTCCCATATGTTCAGGGAATAAGAAGTAGCAGAATCAAAGGAAAACAACAGAAGGAAACTGTAAAAGCAGGAGGACCCAGGTTCTACAAAGTGACAAAAGCCAAAGAAAAGTGATTTAAGGAGACTGCCTTCAGGATTGCACCAAAGGCTATGGGGTCAAGACTAAGGACAGGTCAGAAAATCCTTCTTCCATCTATGTCTCTGCCTATCAACTGAGCTATCTAATACTGTTCCAGAACAGCAATCTTTTAATTATTCTAATGTTTCATCATGTACTAGGATAGGTACCCCTTAACAGTGTTCTTTTCTTTTCTTTTAAAAAATATTTTATTTATTTATTTCTAGAGAGAGGGGACAGGAAGGAGAAAGAGAGGGAGAGAAACATCAATGTGTGGTTGCTCTCATGTGTCCCCTACCGGGGACCTGGCCTGCAACCCAGGCATGTGCCCTGACTGGGAATTGAACCGGTGACCCTTTGCTTCACAGGCCCTCGCTTAATCCACTGAGCTACACTAGCCAGGGCTTAACAGTGTTCTTTTCAAAAAGGCCATTCTCAGGTATTTATTCTCCAGGACAAACTTTTCAGTTAATTCAATCAAGATTCAAAAGTTAAGTTTATGTACCTGGAGACAACTGACCTTTATAAAATATATAAAATAGTATGTTTCTACCTAGGAGCAGCATTTTCCTTTTACTAGTTTCTTTCTCTTTCTTTCAAAAAAGAGAGAGAAACTTCGATGTGTTGTTCTACCCATTTATGCATTCACTGGTTGGTTCTTATACGTGCCCTGACTGGGAAGGACCAAACCTGCAACCTCAGCACAGTAGGACAATGCTCTAACCCAACTGAACTATTCAACCAGGGTTTTTTCCTCATTTCTTAATAGATTTTTTCCATAAGTACTTTTATTGCACATATAAAATAAAATTACTGATTTTTGTCCATAAATCCTGAATTGGGACACCTTACTGAACTCTTTTTAGTTTTAATAGTTTTGATTCTCAAGTATATTATTGTAATACTATAACTTTCCTTTGCTTCCTTGAGAATAAAGGATTGATCTCATTCTTTTTTTGGATCTGCATTTGCCACCCCGTACCCCCCATATAGATGCTCTGTGTTTCCTGAGTAACTCCTTAACTTCTTATATATTATTTCTATTCTGAACACTGAAGTATTTTACAGTAGCTTTAACCCGTGAGTCAACAAATCTTCCTTTACCACTTATGTGGTAGAAACCAGGCAGACTTGGTGGCTACCCTGTTGGAGAGGGTAGTCCAGTGTCAATCACTCCACAGCTTAATTATGTAAGAGGTATTATTTATTATAGCTCTTTCTAGCCTCCCTGCTCTTGGCACTGTGCCTATAGGCATCAATGTATGCCTAGTGGAATTTTGCTATGTTCACTACTTAATTATCATTTTAAAATATAATAGTTTATGGTATCATAAAAATAATCTTTTTGAGAAGTTAAATAATGAGTTAAAGAAACATTAAAATCAAATTTCAATTCATAAAAAATGTGGCTAATAGGTTAATAATGAAAGAACAAAATTCTTTCAATTCCTTACCTTTTGGTGCTTCTGGAACTCCAATGGGGCAAATGATTTTCCTGATACAGTATTCCGATCGAATGCCATACGGACCAACATCTCGCCTCTTAATTATTTCTGTTGTTGTGATTTCAGTTTCAGATGTTTCTATGGTGATTTAATTCAAGAAGTATTAATAACCAACTAAAATACTCAGGGACTAAAAAGGTACAACATCTGCCACTTTAAAAAAGAGACACACATGGAATAAACTGTTGAAAACATATGATTAATGATCACAGAATCACTGTTAAAAAGCAGTTCATACTGAGTTTCTTTCTCACTGGAAATTTCTAAGTTGAGCAAAATGCTGTTTGGGGTAGCTTAGTTCCTGGTGGCAAAACTCATCCTAAATGACAACTCTAGGAGAAAAGCAGCAAGCTGAGAGCTTCCGATGTTGTAGTTTAAATGATTTTTATCTCGTAGCAGCAATTTTCAACCTTGTTCATCTCATGGTACATATAAACCAATTACTACAATTCTGTGACACACCGAAAAAAGGGTTTTTTTTTTGCTGATCTGATCCCCCAAAAAAGGTTTAAATTTAATTCTTTCGTACCAAACGGCTACTCCTATGTTGGCTGTTGTCATTTTTTAATTTGACAATCTAAGGGAAAAGAGGTCAGTGCCCCTGACTAAAAAGTCAGGTATTCTTTTTTTTTTAAGAGCTTTATACATTATTTGTTACCAGTGCGGACTACCATTAACTTTTATGCTTTTTTTTTTTTAAGAAAGAGGGGAAGGGAGGAAGAGAGAGAAATATCCATGTGCAAGATAAACAGTGATTTACTGTCTCCTATATGTGTCCTAACCAGGGGCCAAACCCACAATCCAGGCATGTGCCCTGATTGGTGATCGAATTGGTGACCTTTCAGTCTGCGGAACAATACCCAACCCACTGAGCCACACCAGTCAGGGAAGGTAATGAATGTTCTTGAAAACTCTTACAGCACACTGGTTCAAAATAGCTGCTCTACAATAATAAGCATCTTTTTAAAATTCAGACTGGTTCATACATAAGTGACTCACCTTGTCATCTGAACCCCCTTTACCTGCCCCCAGGATTTCCTAGCATGTGCTGCCAAACTTTAGCAAAGCTGCATTTTTTAAATATAATATTTTATATTTTAATAAGTAACAGATATGCTTAAAATTAAGCAAACTGTCAAGTGATTTTCTCTTTAAGCTTAACCTAGAAAAACCTTTGAAACCCCGTACCTGTCCGGGTAGTCCCTCCTCCTGGAGGAGCCTTGGCTGCCATGTCATCCCATCGCAGACTCGCCCACAGCAACCGTAACATAAGACTTACTCCAGCTAAGGACTTCACGGTCTGAAGTCTATACCTGAAAGAAAAACCCAAGAAGAACATGTATATGTAGATGTGTACACACATACACCCACTCTATGAAGCCAAAGGACTGTTTTTATCTTCATTCAATATTTACAATACAGTTTTATAAGCACTTTGTCTATTATATGTCCCTAAATAAAAGAACTTTTTTCTCCCTCGGCATAACAAGCATCTAACAACTTAAAAAAGATTGGTAGTCACTTCAAATGCCATATAAATCTGTACATCAAGCATGCTTCATTGTAAGATAGGGCAAAAACTTATGAAGATTTTATAAATTTAGCCTAGTCCCAAAATTTGTTAGAAAAATTATTAAGAGCATATAGAAATAAATTGTTACAAATCTGATTAAGAGTTTTGAAGAAAGATAAAATCTTAACATTGATTTTTGCTAAAACAAAATAGAAATGTTTATATTTTCTCAAAAAGCAGAACAAAACCAAAACACTATGCAAGGACAATAAGACCTTTCCAAATAGAAAAAATTGTATACAACTGGTGGCTGTGCAAAACATAACTCCTATATGATGAATATTGCTAATACTAATAAACACTTTACCAATATTAGTGTAGTTTTGGGATATTACAGTGAAGAATAAAAAAGGACATACTGTGTTAGTTACTAATCAAGAGTCAACAGAATCTCTGTTTTTTCTAAACACTATGTGTGAACTCACTAATATTTTAGATATTCCTTTTAAAATAACATTAAAATCACATTTCAAAACAACAATGAATATCCTGTTCTAAAATAGAATTAACCATAAAACACTTTAAAGCAGGCCTAGGTTGTCAAGTCTCTATTAGTGATCTTTGTGTAATTAAACACTTTGTTGACATTTCTATATACTTAAATAAATATACTGGTTGAGTTCACTAAGAAAAATCCTATACAACTTAATTTCCTCTTCTAACAGAGGTAGAAGGTAAATCTTAGATAATTTGGGAGGCAATGCTTTCTATTATTAATGTTAGGTTGGAAAAATGCAAGAAAGGGAAAGCTGGAGCCAAAAAGTTGCTGCAACTTAATTTCCCATCTCCACAGGTGACACCATTATTCTCTTTGTCGTGTTATCTCCCTGTGAATCCTCTGACCTGCACAGATTAATTTTTTAATTAGAGGGCAAATGTTAACTAGCGCAGGGATTACCTAGGAGGGGGTAAGTCTGTGTCACTTTCAGACTACATGCTATAGAAATGTCCTAGGAAAGTTTAGATGCATTATTTGGAAAGAAGTCTCATTCTCTTTCCTTCTTTTTCTTACCACTCTTTACAAACAACTTTATAGTACCTTTATTATATAATGAAAACATCATGTGGGGAACAAACTTTGTGTTATCAGCCTGTTCATTCATTGCTTCATTCAAAAAATATTTGAGGGCCTTTTATGTGTTAGACTAAGTGAAAGGAGCTAGGACACAGAAATACATTATAAACTGTTCTTGTGTCCTCAGGAACTATAACAAAGGAAAAACACAAAGTAAGGAATATCTGATTTTGCTCTGGGTTGAGGATCAGAGCTTTGCTTGTGGTTCTCAAACATCACAGATGTGGGGGTAGCTGACTGAGAGCAAGGAGCACACATATGCTTAGAGAAAAGCATAGAGGAGCACACACTTTTTCCCGAAAACCACATCCGGTGTGCTATGGCTGGCAGGAAAGGGTGTAGAAGTACAGAAAGAGATGAAACTGGCATAAGAGAAAAGGCAGAGCCAGAATGTGCTACGCAAAATGGAAGAATTATGAGCATAAAAGGTAATCTATATTAAGGCCTCTGAAACTTATCAGTATTGGGTGGTTCATAAAGGGAAGTACTTCTCATAGACGTGAGGGACAGGTGGGACAGGTGACAAATGCTTCCCCCATCTCAGTCCTGCAGGAGTTAACAAATCCCCTTTAAATGCTTGGTCAGCTCAGTCAGAATATTCACAGGATAGATCTGCATTTTAGGAGGATCCATCCCGCAGTACTGTGGAGACAACTACGAGTTCAAAGTGATAATAAAACACAGAATCAAGGCCTGGGGAAAAAGGAGTAAGGGAATGGACAGTGTGGAGGGCAAAAGAAGCTCCAATGAGTGGATGAGGCAAGTTTTACTTATTCAATACTGCTCAGCCTTAACATTAATAAAGATCGAATATGCACCTTTGGCATTCTTAGCTCCTACTCTGAACATCAGAAATGTTTTATTCAAGTGTGAGTACAAAAATGCATTTCACGTGCATATTTTTATAGCTATACATTTTTTAAAATTGCATTGTAAAGACACGAATAATTTACATATTCACCCATGCCTCTGTTAGACAAAAGGGATTATTTCTTTCAACTTCAGCAAATTAAGATGTTAGCATACATTTAAAGGAAGTATCTGTTTAAAATGTACAGGAAGGTACTTCCTTCCATTTAAAAAATGTGCAATTAACTAAACAGATACAAATTGTGTCCAGAGTGCATATTAAAACAACAACACAAGGTTCCTGAAACCCAGCTGTGCAAAAAGGGGCCCTGGGCAACGAACGCTTGAGCGGAACTGATCCAAAGAAAATGCTTCCCAGTTGAGTCTATCTTCCATTTCATAATAGAAGAAAGCAGAAAGGTCTGCCTCCACCACTGCCAGGTCATTTTAATTAAAGTATTTGTACATAGTAACTTTTCCAGTGGGAAAGAAGTTACCTGCAGGACAGTCAAGGATACACTTTGGGACCGCTCTCAATGAAGAAAGCAGAAAAGTGCAGAGTAATCCTACAAATCCATGAACTGTAATGAAGAGTTCCTTGATTCCCTGCAGGATTCTGCAAATCCTTCATTGCAGGCCCTGCAGAGAAATTGTACTTTTCAGCTGTCTCTATTGAATGTGTAATGGAGTGATGATATTTTAATTCAAATCAAAAGATGAGTTATAAAAACTTGGTCAAACCAACTATGACTGGTCATATTAATAAGTTAATTCCTTTATAGAGAGTACTCATTTACACTCTTTCTTGGTCTTTTATAATACTAGCTAATTGTCACATAAAGGAAAGAAAAAAAAGCATGATTTTTAACTTAAAGAAACTGGGACCATATCAAAGATACACAGAAATGAAGCCTGCTCAGTAACTTGCAGAAGTAATCAATTTCAGAAAGCTAACCAAATATAACTGCAAAACTGAGATCCTTCCTGGTTTCTGTGCATGTCCTATAAAACTCTTTATGTTTATGTTCTATCCTTTTCAACTCTATGGGTGAACAGGAAAAAAGACAAGGACATGAAAAAGGACAAAGCGAGGATAAATATGTGAAATGTGATACAGCAGAAAAAGTACTGGGCTGGGATTTAAGAAAACTGGGCACTATTCGTAACTCAGTCCCTCTGTGGGCAGAGGCAACTTATATTATACATTGTATAAAAGATAAGAAAGTAAGATTGTTTCCCACTATAAAACTACATGATCTCCCAACCCCCAATACTATACACTATGACACCCCAAAGCTTAATGACTCGGAAATTTTAAATTACAACTATTTCTGGGTTTAAAAAAAATCCCTAAGCAATCTCAGAGACTACCTTTACTCACATACATAAGAGAACTCCAGAACAAATGTTTATCATGCAAATAAATATTAGGAAGATTTCCATATTATAATGAACCTGATGTGATTTATAGGTAAGTTTCCTGTATCTTAAAATTTTACGAATTATGGAACAAAAAATAAAATATATCTTAATCCACGATTGGGAATCCATGTATGTGGAAGGCTGACTTAAGTTATACATGGATTTTTGAAGACAGGGTGTTCGGTGCCCCTAACTCCCACGTTGTTCAAGGGTCAACTGTAAAAATATTCCAGAAAAATTGGTGATTATCCAATTTTATGAGTAATTCACATGGCAATAATTTGGAAAGTTAGACCACAAAAACAACTGTGTTCATCACGTTTCTTTTGTCTTGTGAAAAGTAAAATTGAATTTCATTTTAAAGGATTCCCTTACATTTTTGGTCTTTAAGTATATTCCTCTCATCATTTCTCTATTATCTCAAAAAAAAAAAAAAAAAAGAATTCTTTTCAACTTTTTCCCTTCCCCAAATACCTTTTTAAAGTACATACCTCCAAGTGATACCAAAGGTTGGTCTAGGAGAAGGATATGGCCATATATCCAAGGCAGGTTTAGCATTGTAATTAAAATAAGGGACTTCTCGGATTCCTCCTTTTCTGGCCAATTTTTTTAAGTCATCATTAGGTAAAACGAATATGCTCTTCTTGCTGCTCTTGGTGACAAACTTTCTATAAGATGGTAGAGCTGTACCTGAACGAGTCTTCTTCGGTCTTGAAAATTTCATGAGTTTCACTTTATCTTTTGTGGAATATTCTTTGCTTACAGTCATAGATGTTACCAAAGTGCCTCCTGCGGTGGTCAGTGAGTCTGTCACTGTTGTGGTGACCACAGTTTTGCTCTGCTCCTTCACAGAGATGATGTCCACATTGCTGCCTATGGAGGGTGTGGAAAGCTTTGTTACTGTTGTAGTGGTGGTTGTAACTGTGGATTTGGCACAATTTTCTGTGGAAGAGACCACAGTCTGCTTATCACCTTTTGCTACTTTGATTACAGTTTTTGACTCTGTGGCCACTGTGGATGTCATGGTGGTAACTTCTGTGATGACTGTTTTTCTTTTAGATTCTCCATTGACATTTTCATCTTTGTTGGTGGGCAGGCCATTTTCATCAATGAAATCATTACTGAGGTTAGATTCCTCTTCAGAAGTAATAGGTGATGGAGAAACTTTCTTAACTTCTGAGCTTTCAATTTCCATATCTTCTACCTGAGTCACTGAACTACTTTCTGGACAAGATGGGGGAGGTGTAATAGTTTGTGTTCTCTCAGACTCTTTGGTTAATGGGAGGGTCTCTAGGCCGTCTTGGTAGTCACCTTCAGCATCTGAAGATCTCGGTAAGCATGATTTGGCTTCCAAGTTATTTTTTTCATTAAAATCTTCCATGATAACATCACCATTCATGAATGGCTTTACAGCAGATTCTTTAACAGTCAAAGACTTAATATCACTTTCAGGAATTATTTTATTTATATTATTAACCTTTGGTTCAACATCACCACTTACTACTTTACTGTCAGAAATTTCTTTCAAGCATTCACCTTTCAAATATACTTTAGGTTTATTATCTTTTCCATTTATTTGAAAGGTACTTGCTTTCTGTCCTTTCTTTTGAGACTCTCGATTTTCATTATTCTTTTTGTCAGTGCTACTGTTTAGATTTATTTGATCAATACATTTATTAACTGGTTGCTCCTCTAATTTCTGTTCTTGATTCAGTTTTTTACCATTTGCTTCAGTTACCTTACCCTGCAGCCTGTCATCACAGATTCCAGTGGACTTATCTGAAACAGACTCACATTTCAATGGTTCCAAGCCTTCAATACCTTGTTCTTGAGTTATGAACTGCTCAGAAATACTGTCATTGCTATTCTGAACAATCATATCTTCTTCACTGCTGTCTTGAATAGACAAAGTATCAGAACTATTTTCCAAAGTGCTATTATATTCAAAGTCACATCCCGTTTTCCCTTGAAAGTCCATTGCTTTGGACAGAGATGGGATATCTCTATCATCGGTACTTCTAGATACTGATGGAAGTAAAGGGCTTTGGGAAGGAGAAACAATAGTGTCATTATTCTCCTGTGTGAGTGGTTTTTTGTTCTTAGACATCAAAGTACCAATTTCATCTGCACAGCCTAGTTTAGAGTCATCAATAAGAAAATCACTTCCCTTTGTTTTAATCTTACTGGGTTCCAAGCCTTTACTAGTTGGTTCAGAGAGACTCTCATCTATGTCATTTCCAACAGAATATTGTTTCTGACAGTTTGTCTCTAGGCTCTGAATGGAGACGTCATCTAACATTGGATCTTTTGGATAAAGTTTGCTTGTTGTATGATCAGGATCACTGATTCCCAGAACTGAGGAATCACTTTGTGAATATCCCCGAAAAAAGTCTTCAGATTTATCATTACTTGCATTAGGGCTTCGTTCTTGCCTAAGCAAGTCACTATAACACCCTTCTTTTGCTTTTGTTAATCCTGGTGACTCAGACGGACTTTTCAAGGAACTTGCAGAGGTCTTTCCTGTGCCCTTAATTCCACCCTCCAACTTCATTTTTTCAAGTTGCTGTTTTTCTTCCAGTGTAAACTGTTTAATTCTCCTTTCAAGAAGTCCATCTAGTTTGGATGATTTAATTTTCTTTTTATAACTAGTCCTTAGATGAAAACCCTCACTGACATTGACCACATCTATTTGAGAACTTTCCTGACAATTTATGTGTGATTCTGTTTTCATATCATCATCTATTTCCATTGGTTCTTCCTTAAAGGATTTATCATTGTCAGAATCTAAAACTTCTTTCACATCTGTGAAACAAAGACATTTATATAAGTGTTACTTTCAGTCTGAAATGTGGAATTCATGGTATTTTTATTTAAAAACTACCAATTTCCACTCAAGAACAAATATAAATAGCTATATAATTCAAAGTTCTTGACATGATTAAAACAGGTTAACAAATGGGGCTCAAGTTTATGAAAGTTTAAAAAGCCAACATATTACAAATGTTTAAATGTTCAGATTCTTAGTATGTAAAACTGATGGAATGCCACAATAAAAAATTACTTAATATATGATAGCTATTACACATGCCAGTAATTCATGTAAGATTCTGTATAGAGCATTTTATACTTATAAAATATCTTAAGGCTGATGTACTATCTAGCTTATCTAGTTTTTAAAAAACTGTTTTTCACAAAATGTAAATTCTTCAAAAGGTTGGATGTAGTTATTTCATGACCCAGCAATTTGATGTCCACATAAACTTGTAAACAATTGTTCATATCAGCATTACTCACTAATAGCCAAATAGTAGAAAAGACCCAAATATTCACCAACAGATGAATGAATAAACAAAATGTGGCATATCCATATAATCAAGTAATACTCAAACATTTTAAAAACTGAAGGAATACTGACACAGTATTCCTTACAACATGGATGAACCCTGAAAACAGGCTACATGAAAGAAGCCAGTCACAAATACCACATACTATTACATGATTCCATTTATATGGAATGTAAAACTAGGCAAATTCATAGAGACTGGAAGTAAATTGCTGGGCTGGAGAAGGAAATTTAGGGAGGACTGGGAATGCTAATGAATATGAGTTTCTTTTGGAGGTGATGGAAATGTTCTGAAATTGATTGTGGTGACGGGTGAAAAACTGTGGAATACAAAAAAACCACTGAATCGTACTCTTTAAATGGGTGAATTACATGGCATAAGGATGATGTTTCACTAAAGCTACTATCAAAAAGAGACAACGCAGTAGCTTTCCTGCTGTGTGAACTAGATCCAGTGCATTCTTATAACCCTTAGGCAGCCCTCCACAACTGACCCTCCTTACCTTGGTCCTTCTTCTCAGGAATCTTTGAAATTTCCATTTCACCGTGGTCTGCTCCTTTTGCTGCATCTGAATCTTTTACCTCGTCTTTCTCAGAATCAGGCTCTGTTTTTATTTTTTTTGGACTTCGTGGGCTTTTTCTTCTATCTGATTCATCCATATTTTCGTTCATACTAGTTTTGGCTAAAAAGAACCAAGAATATATGTTGCATATTAACAATTTAACATATCTAATTTAGTACAAATTATCAGATATTTTCTAGCAAGATATACTTCATTACTTTTTATTTAAAAATAAAAGAAGTTGAGCCCTGGCTGGTGTAGCTCAGTAGACTGAGTGCAGGCTGCAAACCAAAGGGTTGCCAGTTTGATTCCCAGACAGGGCACATGCCTGGGTTGCGGGCCAGGTCCCCAGTAGGGGGCACATGAGAGGTAACCACACATTGATGTTTCTCTCCCTCTCTTTCTCCTCCCTTCCCCTCTCTCTAAAAATAAATAAATAAAATCTATGAAAAATAGGCCCTGGCTGGTGTGGCTCAGTGGAGTAAGTGCTGGACTGGGAACCAAAGGGTTTCTGGTTCAATTCCCAGTCAGGGCACATCCCTGGGTTGAGAGCCAGGTTCCCAGTAGGGGGCATGTGAGAGGCAACCACATTTTGATGTTTCTCTTTCCCTCCTCCCTCCCTTCCCTTCTCTCTAAAAAGATAAATAAATAAAATCTTAAAAAAAAAAAAAAAAAAAGCCCTGGCTGGTGTAGCTCAGTGAATTGAGCAGGGGCTTGCAAACCAGACAATCGCGGTTCGATTCCGGTCAGGGCACATTCCTGGGTTGCAGGCCGGTTCCCTGCAGGCCAATTCGCAGCAGGGGACGCACGAAAGGCAATCATACATTGATTTAAAAAAAAAAAAAAAAAACCTATGAAAAATAAAAAGTAAACTGACCCGCCCCGCCACAGGGGCGGGGGCTCTAAGAGTCATTTCCTGTATATTATCCCTCAATAAAATGTTTTAAAAAATTGAAGGTTCTATATATGCTTTCATATGTTTGGGTGACCTAAAGCATAAAAGGAATGACTGCCTTTTCCATGTGCTTTAGAAGCTTTCACGTATGAGACCACGTCAACCTGTCTGCATCAGTGGTCTCTCACATACACTGTGTTACAGAACCATATTAGAATTGGATAAATGCTCTGATCCACTAAACAAACAAAGTATGTACACAAACTTTTATAATAAATTTCAATGGATTCTTGGATAACCTTGACGTTTATCTATGGATTCCAGGTAAAATATACTTAAGTGTGTGTCACACAATAAGAGACAAGAGAAATATCCAAGTGCAATGTGTGGCCTAATGTGGACCTAATTTACTTCCAAAAGTAAAAAGGCGTTTCTGAGACAATTGAGGTGATGGGAATATGAACTGAGAATCAGATGATTAATATGTTAGCTGCTGTTAATTTACTGAACGTGATGATGCCATGATGGCTATGAGAAAATGTTCAATTTAATTAGAGACGCATAATAAACTATTTTTGGTAAGTAACATACATGATTTTTGGGATTTGCTCTAAATACAGAGGAAAAAAAGTCCAGGAAAAATGTGGGCAGTGACAACTGAAAGAAGAGTGACAGAATTTAATAATTGTTCAAGTTGAATGATGGGTTAGATGGGAATTGGATTATACTACCATTCTCTTTTGTATAGTTTCAAATTTTCCATAAGAAAATAAAAATGAAACCCACAGAACAGAACTGTTCTCTGGATGAATACTCTTAGCCCTTAGAAGCATTTCCTACCTTGTCTTTTTTCACTTACACTCAAATATCTCAAGGACTTAGCAAGATGTACCTATCCTTTCATTTAAATAAATAACTCGGCCCTGGCTGGTGTAGCTCAGTGGATTGAGTGCAGGCCTGCGAACCAGAGTATCATGGTTCGATTCCCAGTCAGGGCACATGCCTGGGTTGCAGGCCAGTTCCCATCAGGGGATGCATGAGAGGCAACCATACATTGATATTTCTGTCCCTCTCTCCTTCCCTTCCCCTCTAAAGATAAATAAATAAAATCTTTTTTAAAATTTAAAAAAAAAAAAAAAAAACTCTTTCCAGGAAGATCTGAATAAGGAAAGAGAAAAGAATGCAAACCTGTCAAACCCTCCCCCTCCCCCCAAAATCACTTAGTACCTGTCAAGACAGCAGGATAACTGTGAGCGAAGAAAAGCATCACACAAAGGGTGATGGGATATATGTGACCCCACAAGAAACAAAAAAGAATTAAAAGAAACTCAACTGAAAGCCTCCACAGTCAATGTTTCTATAATTACTGCAAAACAGCTGGCAAATATTTTTCAATGGTTTCAAATTACTCAAAAGAGCTTTATATGACAATGGCAGCCTCATCTGAGAGCTGTAAGAATCCTAATTTTTAAAAAACATTTTAATTTATTTTTAGACAGGGGGAGGGACAAAGAGAGGGAGAGAAACATCAATGTGTGCTTGCCTCTTCTGTACCTTCTACTGGAACCTGGCCAGAAATCCAGGAATGTGCCCTGACTGGGAATCCAACCGGTGACCCTTTGGTTTACAGGCTGGCACTCAGTCCACTGAGCCACACCAGCATGGGGAGAATCCTGATATTTAAAACAGACAACTATAAAATGTTTGGTTCCCCCCCCCACTAAAGACTTCCTGACATAAACAATATTAATACAGACCCATTACTGAACTTGATAAATTATTGTGCAAAACAAATGCATACAGTCCAAGTTGGAAGAGAGTAATATTAGAGATAAGAAACACACAGCAGCCACTCTGGTCTTCTGGTGCTAAGTCAAGTGTTCCCTGACCTACACTTCTGTTTTTCAATACATCTGGACCTCTATATATGATCAGACTAGATTAGCCATCTTTACAGGAACCAATAGTTCTAAGATCAAAAAGAGAATATTTTATACTGATTTATATTAATAATATAAATAAAATCCTATGCTAAGAAAATGGATATAAAAGAAACTTGCAAAAGCCTAAATACTGTGGTATTAATAATCTGGATTTTATTACACAGGGCAAACGAGGTCAGATACAATTAGACAAAAGCTCTCTAGAATTCTAAGTGCTACATGGGAAACTAAAGCAACAAAATGGTGATAAAAATATGTAACCACCTTTTGGAAAGTACTATAATGGTCATTTAGCCTGAACATAATCAGATAATAATAGATTGGTAATAAAACAGAAATATTCATTGAGCATTTGCTATGTTCAAGACTCTTCTAGTCCTTACAATAAATTCCCGTGAGCCTTATAAAATATATTTTTTGTTAAAAGATAACCCAGTGATAACTGTCCCAAATTAACGGTTTAAAAAAAATCAACCAGTGCAGGTGTCACAAAAAAGACAACCATTCACAAAGAAGACAAATCAGTTAGCTGAATATGTAGATACATACATAGTACTTAATTGACACTTATGCATAGGCTATATAGGAAAGAACATATCACATCATAAAATAAATTGTATTGCAACATAGGAGAAACTGCATGGTAGAATACAAAAACTGCAGGGGAAGACAGGAGACATGAATTTCAACCATATCACTCTCTATCTAGTATGAACTTCAGTATGTTGCTTAACATCTTCATGAAATAAATCTTCTCCTGTGTAACATTAGTTTCATTATACAAGGTTTCTTAAAGTGGCAGTTTACCTCTAGAGTTCTATAATTCTGAAGTTATTACCCAGTAGCATAAATGGAGTTACTACGTCATTTATGTGACAGTGCTCTGGAAGCCTTTATCACTCCCTTTCTGGTTTTGTCACATCCTGCCTACAAAGCTGAGGTTACCAGATGTATAGTTCTTCAAGAAGGCAAGAAGTACTGAATTTCAGATTTAAAAAAAAAAAAAACCAATTAGGTAGCTGAGGCCTTTTTTCTTAAACAAACAAACAAACAAACAAGTTCTATTCTATCCTATCGTCTTTCATTAACTGAAATCCTAGATATCAAAATTCTGTAAATAAAGGCAATTTTAAAACATACAAAGTTTATAATAAACAACATTAGTAATTTTGCAAATTCTATTAAAAATTGCAGAAAAAGTCTTATCCAAAATATGGTCAATACACTACTATAAATCTATAAGAAATAATAAAAGTCAGAAACAATTATGCAGAAAAAATAATTTTAATTACTTACTTTCTTCTAATGACTTTCTGTAATGCACATTAGTATTCCCTGGCAATTTAGGAACAAACCTATAAACATGAGTTTTACTAATCCAGCTCCAACCACCATATCCTGTTACTCTGTATTCCTCGCCTTTTTGTTTCCACACCTGATGTAAATAAAGACATTCTGATTAAGCAAGAATGAGAATGCTTATAAAGTACATGTGATTTTATACATTTTTACCAAACAAAACAGACAGGTAAATTAATTAAATTTACCAATTTTATTTTTAGCAAGAATCAAAGATTTATTAAAAAACTTAATTTTTCTTTCTGAAATTAAAAAAATGTAATACAATTTTACAGTTTTATGACAATTTCAACAAATTGGTCTAGTAACCCACCTATATTCTACTAAAATAAACCTATGCTTATAAAATTGCCAGAAAGATTACTTAATTCCTACTATATTAAAAGATTGTGTCAAAAGTAAAACAAATTATTAAGTACTCAAAGTTGCAGAAGAAAGTCTCAGAATTGGCTAACACTATTTCAACAGGATATAAGTAAAATTACCTGATGTTTAACTGGAAATGTATATTTTACCCAAGTGGCTTGCTGCATTGTTTCTTCTTCTTCTTGTTTCTTTTCCTTTTTTTTGACTTTCTCTTTTTCTTCTCTTTCAATTGCTGTCATCCTGTGTAGCCTAAGAATATAAAAATTGAAAAACAGAATTACATATAACTTTGAAAAACAAACGATATAGAAATGAAGTTCTGAAAATTAGCAAGACAAAAACAAAGAATAGTTAGATATAATCCCCAACTCAGACAACCCCAGCTCAGAACAAGTAGACATACAATTACATAATAGGAAAAAATCAAACAGTACAGAGAGGCAAAAACAAAATCTGCTATGCATCCCATAAGAAATACTCATTTTTTACTTATTCCTGAAATATTTCATACATATACCAACTTTATATTTACATAAAAGGTATTATATGACAGACACAATTATCTGGTTTTTAATCAATGAATAATTATACTAGGAGATCTTTCCATAAACAGAAGATACAGGTCTTTTTTAAGAATTAAATAAAAAATATACCACTGCATGGATATACTATAATTTATTAAATCAGTTCCCTGTTAAAAGGAATACTTTATTTCCTTCCCCTCCAACTAAGATCAACAAATCTAAAAACTTTTATTGACCAATATTTCTGATTCTATCTACCACTGGCTATCTTAAAAGCCTTCATATGATCCACTAACATGGAATTCAGGCTTCCCACATACAAAGGAAGGGGCCCATGTTTCTTGTTTGGGGCGCAGGTAAAGGGAAGGGCTGCGAAGGAAGAACAACACTGATTAGGCATCACCATTAGGCTCAGGATGTAAGCCACACTCTTTTTTCAGGCTGTAAAACTGATTATCATTATACCAAGCAATAAGTGAATGGGCAGGCCTTTGGTGCTTAACGTAATAAGCTCTACATTAAGGTGTTTTAGACCGTATGTTCATGAATGGGACTATTTCCTATAAACAGCAACACTAACTAAGGCCTAAAGAGAAGCTGCTGTCTCTCTGAAAGCTCTAATGGTAGAGGGTTGTGTTTTTTTTTAAATCACACTCTACCTGGTTGTACCCAATTTTTCCTGCAACAGCTATATGGGAAGAATAAAGAGATCTTTTGTCAACTTGGGGGAGAAGGAGATACTAGTAAGCTGTGGGAGGGGATTTAATTATCTTTTATCTCCTTCCCTCCACCAAACACTCCCTTATCTAGGTCCACTTTCAAGAAAGCTTTGTGACCTTGTGACTATAGGACTCCAGAATCTAGCCTCCCCATAGGGTGACAGAACTCAATGCTAATTAACTACATATAACCAGTACAGTAAACACTCTTCTTTTGTTCACAGCTAATGGGAGGAAAGGGAGAGGATTCTCATCAGAGACTAACTCACTGACTCGAATACCACTGATTTGCCACCAGGCTCGGAACCAGGAAGTGGGGCAAACTCTGCAGACAGAGCACGGTGGATACCGTGAGAGCCCCAGTCCACCACAGTAAGGAGAGAGTGGCCAAGGACCATGCATTATCTCTCAACAGAATCTGTGGGCTCAGCTTTAAACACCTCTACAAAGTCAGGTCCAGCACAGTAACTGGTCCCTTGTCACTGACGGTGGCCAGGGATAGCTCACAGTGGGGAGAAAAGAACGGTGCAGTGACACTCTGCAGGCTCATGGCTGGGACGGACACTCAGTTTGTGCTCTTAGTGTTCACATAGGAAACAGGTCCATTTATCACCAAAGGCTTAACTTTACTCAGGAAGCCAGGCCAGTGAGGTGGTTCTGTCGCTGATCTGTGAGGTTGGCTAAGCCAGAGTAAATTCCACTGTTGTCACTGCCACCAAAACAATCCTTATGAGAAAAGGCAGCAACAAAAGAGCTCCAAAGGAGTTTAGTTCCTCTTGGCTGGGCAGAAAGCCTGGCTACTGTTGCCAGCCTGGGGGACCCAAGAAAGAAGCTCCATCAGGCCAGTACTGTGCACCCTCCAGCTCCAGGTATTCCCTCCACAGTTCTGGAGATCAAATGACAGCCGGAGCAGGAGTATGGACTAAGCTTCAAGTCCATTCCTGACCTACACGTGGTACCCAGGGTTTTGTTGTGTGTGTTTGCTATTACAAACAAAGCTACCATAAGCACCGTTTTATCTTCCTTGGATAAGTTGGGGAGTATCAGCCAATGTTCCCCAGGGCTGGGATGGCTAAGTCCAAAGGTTCTTGCACTTAAAATGCTGACAGTGCCAAATTGCTCTTCAGAACTGTATGCTTTACACTGCCACTGATTATAAAGACACCCTGCTTTCCCACATCTTCACTCAAGTTAGTACCAAACTTCTAAATTAATAGCCCAGTTGAGAGATAAGAAATACTATCCCCATTGTTTTGATTTACATTTCTTTAATTATGAGAGAAGTAACCATTTTTTAATGTCCACTGGCCTTTCGTATTTATTTTTCTGCAAAATGCCTGTTCAAATCCTTTTTCTTGTCTGTACTGGACTATTATTAGTCCTTTTCATTTATAAAAGGTCTTTGTCAATTAAGGAAATTTTCCATTTGTAGTGCAAATATTTTTCCTCAGTTTGTCATCTGTCTTTTGAGTTTGATTACATTATTATTTCTCCACTCAGAATTTTAAATACATACACATATCCACTTTTTTTCCTCTATGGCATCTGGATTTTATATCTGTTTAAAAAGAAAGTATCACAACAAAGACATAAATTAATTCATGATTTCTTATTAAGATTTTGGTTTTAAGAGTGTTTTTTAAAAATCATCATTTCTTTGAATGCTTTTGCTGAGGCTGAGAGCTAAGTTGGTATTTTCTTCAAACTTGGCTCCCTGTCCTTTTTCCTTCCCAGGCACGCCGCTGCTATCACAGCTAGATTGGCATGTGTGTTCAGGTCTATTTCTGGATTCTCTTTTTGGTTCTATTACTCTACTTCCTCTGCAGTACAAATTATTTTGATTATTGAAGCTTCAAAATTATGTTCTAATACCAATTCCCTTTTTTTGTAATACCTACTTCCTGCACATTATATTTTCTAGATGAAATATTAGTATAATTTTGGTCAAGCATCCCTGCTCATGGAGGGAAAATCCTATTCACAATGCAAATAGATATTAATTTTGACAGATTAAATTAATATAATTGACATAATACACAGCATCTTTAGAAAATGTGATAAACACATAAAAACATTCAGCTTTTCATTTACTCCAAGTATCCTTTTATGTCTCTAGTAAAATTTAATGATTTCTTTACATGATCCTGAATATTTCTTGTTAAATTTATTCCTAGAAGGATTTCTTTTGTTATTGAGATCTTTTCTTTCATTATAACTTATAGAAATATGTAAAATGTAATAAGGTTAAGCAACAGAACTTTATCAATAACCAAAACATTGGAAGTTACTGTGTCTGACCCCAGGCAGTCATTATCCTGACTTTCCTTTAGGGCTTTACCACCTGTGTGTGTATCCCAACTAGTATGAAGTTTGACTTCTGAAAACTCAGGAACAAGAGTAAAACTAGCTACATAAGCAAAAGCATAACATTATTATTATTAAAAGAAGATTTCTGGAAAAAATAAACTTGTCTCTGAGTCACAGTTTACAAGTTTACAAGAACCTTTTCTGGTGAAATCCAAGGGCAAGGTCACAAGCAAGGCCTGGAATACACTGGGCTCACCACACTCGGAGTACCTGGCAGACTGTGTGTGAACAGGTACTGCAGAGACAGGACCTGAAGAGGACTGTGTTGCACTTCCTGTTTCTGGGCCTTCTGAAGAGTCTGTGGTGTAAACTGTGACAATTCTCAGTTTTTCCCCTTCTTGGGTACATTACCATTTCTCTACCTGCATTACTGCTTCTACAGTTTTACTGGTGCTGTATTCCTTCTTGTTCCCCTGTCCCTGTGGGTGTATGCTTAAAAAATAAAAATAATCCTGGCTGGTGTGGCTCAGTGGATTGAGCGCAGGCCTGTGAACTAAGGGATCGCATCACGGTTCGATTCCCAGTCAGGGCACATGCCTGGGTTGCAGGCCAGTTCCCAGCAGGAGACGTACGAGAGGCAACCATACATTGATATTTCTCTCCCTCTCTCCTTCCCTTCCCCTCTAAAGATAAATGAATAAAACCATAAACAAACAAACAAATAAATGTATACATACATACATACATATATAAAATCCCTCTGTGATAGTTTTGGCGGAGATCAGCAGGGTGTAAATTTAAATGTGTTTATTGAATTTGTTATTTTTAACTCAGAACACCTACTGAGTTAAAGAAAACCTATTATTCTATGGCCACCATATGGCCACCTTACTTCATTTTCATATTGTTTCTGACAGTTTTTCAAGTCCATTTGCTTGGATTTTTAAGTATATAATTAGATCAACTGCATAATAATTGTCCCCATGTCTGCCAATATATCTTTTACTTACCTTGACAAAATGCCATGGCTAATAATTTTAAGAAATATTAAAAGATAGCAGTGATACCTGGCATCTTTGTTTTGTACCACCTAACTGTTCATGGGAATGCTTTAAGAATTTCATCAAAACAGATGGTGGTTTGGTTTGAAATACAGTTCTATACAAAAAATAAATAAAAGACTATTCCTATTTACTAAGTATTTTTTAAGGGATTAATAATGAGCTTTTATCTTATTAACAAATGCCTTTTTGGCATCTAATGAGATGACTGTTATCTATCTTTGATGTCTTAAAATAGCATGGTGGGTATTAATAATCTACTAAGAACTGACAAGTCTTCTAAGCCTAGGGGAAGCCAATTTAGCTATGGTTTATTATTCTTTGAATTTACTCCTCAATATATTTCAAATGTTTTAAGATTTCTTGAATGCACATCTATTTGCTATTAATTATTCATCAATGGTGAATACTAATAAAGGAGATAGGGCTATAATGTTCTAATTATCTATTTGTCTATTTCTGTTTAGCAAGTTTGATAACAGTTTTACACCAAAAGAAATAATCTGTGAGATTTCTTTCTTCTTCTATTTTATGGAAGAGTTTAAATAGAATCATCTGTTTCCTGAAATTTAAGTAACTTCCTTATGAAGTCATCTGGTCCTGCCCATCTTCAGTGATACCCTTTAAACTAAAACAGA